GACTGATCGTGCCGCGTCGGCCTCCGTCGGCTTTCTCGTTAACGGCGACGGATATCTGCCGTCGCGATAACGGATCGCTGATAAGTGGAGCGGCCGCGATCGACCGTATCGGTGCGCTGAAATTCTCCGAAAAGTTGTCGGCTCGTCGGGCAACCCGCGGTGAAACCTCTGGAAAATTCTGTGGAAAATTCTGTGGAAAATTCTGTGGTAAATTCTTGGGAACATTCTGTGGAAAGTACGCTGGAAAATTCTGTGGAAAATTCTGTGGAAAATTCTGTGGAAAATGCTGTAGAAATTCTGTAGCAAATTCAGTGGAAAATTGTGTAGAAAATTCACTGGAAAATTCTGTGGTAAATTCCTGGGAAAATTCTGTGGTAAATTCTTGGGAAAATTCTGTAAAATATACGCTGGAAAATCCTGTGGAAAATGCTGTAGAAATTTTGTAGAAAATTCACTGGGAAATTGTGTAGAAAATGCACTGGAAAATTCTGCAGAAAATTCACTGGAAAATTCTGTAGAAATTTGTGTAGAAAATTCGTTGGGAAATTCTGTAGAAAATTGTGTAGAAAATTCACTGGGAAATTGTATAGAAAATTGTGTAGAAAATTCGCTGGAAAATTGTGTAGAAAATTCACTGGAAAATTCTGTGGAAAATCCGCTGGAAAATTATGTAGAAAATTCAGTGGAAGATCCAGTGGAAAATCGTGCGACCGAACGCGAATGCTCAGGAAAAAGGTGTCAGCATCGTTCTCGCCGACGAGAAGAGACCGCGCCGCGGCGTTCGTCCTCGAAGGCAAGGTAATTTCAACTGCAATCCCGCGGACACGCCTCGCCTCGCTCGGGAAAACAGCGGTGCTTCTGTGAACGTGATTGTTAACCTAACTGGGGGAGGGTCAACGCGCGACGTTTATGCCACCCTTCGCTCCTCGGATCTCTCCGCCACCTTGGGCCCTCGAACCGTTCTTCTGGGACCACGTGCTCCGCGACGCGTTCGACGATCTATCGTCGGGGCCCGTCTTCGCGCTTCGAACGCTTCGTTGACCCTTTGACATACCATTTTCTTCATAGTTAGTGCGATTGAAAATTCGTCGACCGCGATCATTTCTTCGAAGGGAAAGAAAATTTGTATTTATTTCACTTGGATGAATATCTGTATTAAACATCTGCTTTGTAAAATATTGAAAATGATGTGGCGATGTCATCTTCGCTGTTCAAATGCTTCGTTAAATATTTGCAATTGTCAAATATTGGCGAGATGTAGGCGATCTTCGCTGTTCAAATGCTTCGTTAAATATTTTTGATTCGTTAAATATTAGAACAACGCAGCGATCTTCGATCTGTTGTTCAAATGTCCCGTTAACTCGCTGCTTCGTAATATATTAGAACGTTTCATCGAACGAAACTGAACTCCTCGATTTTTTACGCAACGCGCAAACAGTTTTAGCGATAAACGAAGCAGCTGGATGCTGGATTTCCACGCTGCAACGCGATCTCGCAACCGGAAAGAAAGCGATAAAAATGATGGTCTCGCAGATCCGTCGTCCGCATCTTAACGAGAGTCTCGTTACGAGGCATCATCTCGGAAAGCAAACAATTAAAGACTTCATAGAACAGAGTTACGCAACATTTCCATGGAAATTGTGACATTAACCGTGAGGAGGGAGGGGACGGGGGCGACGCGTTCCTTTGTAAAATCTTTCGTAGTTTCCTCATCCTATCAGGAAGAAATAATAATAATAATAATAATAATAATAATAATAATAATAATAATAACGGCGATAACGTGCGATATCTGCCTACCGATCGGTAGAAATATCGCGAGGAAAACCGTAAAATTGCGGTAAACCAAAATGTCAACGGGGAACGCGTCGAGCATGTTGCGAGAGACACTGATAAAGCGGAACATGATTTTCGATCCTGCGAAACGCACGGCATTCAGGCGAACCTACACTGCGAGACAGCCCAATCGTAAAAAAGTTTAACGATCGAACATATCCTAGATAATTAAACGTTAAACTACTCGAAACCACGGACAACTTGTCCTAGAAATTTCATGCGAGCTGTTCGAATGATATTTCGAATAAATTCTACGAATATTATATCGTTCGAATAAATTCTTTACGAATATTATATTGTTCGAATAAATTCTTTACGAATATTGTACTTACTCGAATAAACTGTACGAGTAAAATTATTTGTTCGAATAAATTCGACGGATATTATTTTATTCGAATAAATTCGACGAGTAAAACTTTATTCGAGAAATATATTTCGAATAACACGTCGAATAAATTCTTCGATTCGTTGAATAATATCATTGTAATATTATCGAATAATATCATAATGTTCATTACATCAACAATAATAATCGATGGAACGAAAATAAGACGTCCAGAAGGAGTACAGTAACGTCTCCCTAATTGACGCTCAGACTGTCCACAAAAATGGACAATTTGGGAAGAGGAGATTCGATTATTCAATTCTTGCAGCTCGTTTTTACAGTTGTTGACAAATCGTGACTACAAAAATGAGCCGCAAGGATCGAACAATCGTATCTCCTCTTCCCAAAATTGTCCATTTTCGTGGACAATCCGAGCGTCATTTAGAGAGACGTTACTGTAGCTTGAAAAATATATTTTTCAAAATTGCTGAACGCCGTTACAAATGATATACCGAGCACGCTGGGTCCTATATTCGCGAGAAAGGTCCGCCGTTCGCGTGATACTAATTCGAGGTGCTAATTAACGCTAGCCGACTCCCCGTGAGAATCGAACTGCATCGCCCCCGCTGCTATGTGTCGGTTTAGGCCGATTCGGGGAGCCGGTTTCTAGCTGTTACTTATCTACGGTTCGCAACCTTGACGGGAACTGAACACCTTCCAATAATTAACAGTCGGCTGTGACGGGTCACGCGTCGTTACGCAAGCATTTTGCAACGACGCGACGCGACACGCGACGGTGGGCGCCCCTATCGAATCGTTCCAGGATCGTTCCGAAAAAATCTGTGATTTGTTAAACATTAGGAAACAATGCAACAGTCTTCGCTCTGTTCAAACGTTCCGTGATATCTCCGAATTTATTTCTTAAACATTTGAAAACGGTGCGGCAATCTCCGCTCTGTTAAAAAATGCTCCATTAAATACATGAATTGTCCAATAATGCATGATCGATGTTCGAGCAAGAGTATCGATGTTCGAATAAAAGAGTAGATAGACGGAAAATTTAAATTCTCTCTTTTTTTTGTTTAATACAAATTATTGGGATCGAAGGTATCGCGATTATGGTATCCGTGATGAAAATGGTACCAGCGATGGGTTTGTTTAACTGTGTCCTGTTTCGTTGAGAAGAAGCGGAATGGGAATCGGTGGTGTCCCGGTAATCAAAGCGTGCCTCGTGTCAGCAATTAAACGCGATAAGCGTACGCCGTGTGCGCTCTAGATTTTGCTTCGGAATTGTAGTCTCGCATCGCATTGTGCGGTTCGCCGGTTAGGCGAGACGCAGGATTTATTGGGGCAGTGCGCGCAAGGTGACGCCGAAACCGTGTCGCAAAAATCCGCTGACAGGCTCTGTTCTCTCTCTCTCTCTCACTCTCTTTTACGCTCTCTCTTTCCCTCTTTTCCTCTCTTTTCCCTCTTTTTCCCTCTTTTTCTCTCTTTTTCCCTCTTTTTCTCTCTCTCACTCTCTTTCTCCCTCTCTCTCACTCTCTTTCTCCCTCTCTCACGCTCTCTCTTTCCCTCTTTCTCCCTCTCTCACGATCTCTCTTTCCCTCTTTTTCTCTCTTTTCCCTCTTTTTCTCTCTTTTCCCTCTTTTCCCACTTTTTCTCTCTTTTTCTCTTTCTCTCTCTCTCTTTCTTTCTTTTCTCTCTCTCTCTAACTCTCTCTCTCTGTCTTCGCGTATATATGTATGTGTACGTGGACCTTGCAACGAGCTTTCCACCGGTACAACACAGTGTCGATCAGCAACGATCTCGCTTTGCTAGATCGGCGACAAAGTGCTCTCCTCTTCTGATCGCTGAACCGTGAACCGACTTTTTTTCGGTTCAGTCGTCGGGACCCTTCTTTCCAGCGATATCTTCTCTTTTAACGCAACAGGTGATGCAAAAGGAGACGGAACAATGTTCTCCGATCTTCGGCGAAACACAAACAAATATTTATTTATTTATTTATTCATTCATTCATTCATTCGTTTACTGAATATCACAACGTCACAAACGAACCGCAGATCGTACACATTTATAATAAAAATTCGTAAACGAGACACGAAACACTGACGCTGTCACAAACATTGAATAATTTTGTTTATTTCGCTTATAATTTCGACTCAATCGTAAACGAGGTAAACATTCAATCGTAAACGAGGTAAAAATTCAATCGTAAACAAGGTAAAAAATTTAGTCATAAACAAAGTAAAAATTCAGTCATATATAAACAAGGGAGAAGCCGAGATAAAAATATAACGAAATATAAATATATAATAATTTGAACAAACCAAATGGCGAAAATAGCGACGTCGTTCGATTTTTCGAATGTGTTTCAATTCTGCTGTTCCTTTTGCAGTCCTCTTTTTTCTTTTATCGTAATCCCATGAAATCCGCAGTCCAGCGATCAACGACACCTGAAAAACCGTAACGCGAATCGTTTCGAGTTACGTTCGCGTCGATAAGCTTCGATCGTTTCCAAATAGTTGTCCGGATTTTCGGGTCGCGATGCGTCGCGTCTCGTCGCGTGGTCGAACCACCGTGACGCATTAGCTCGCAAACGGCGACGGTGTGCTGGCCGCTGGTCGCGATTGTTGCCAGTGAATCGAAACATTTAGCCGGCGCGTATTGAGGTCAGTGGTTTGTTCATCCTATCGTTAATGACGATTCCAGCGTCGAGACACACAGCTTCGAGCGAGCAGGCGTGTGCAAGCGAGCGACCGACCGACCGACCGATTCCTCCTTGCGTAACGTACGTAATACGGAGACACAAACGACGACGACGACGACGTCGAAGATGAAGATGTCGAAGACGAAGACGTCGAAGATGAAGACGTCGACGACGGAAACGGGGAAGTCGAAGACGAAAAACGAAGGAGTCGAAGACGAAGAAAACGAAGACATCGAATTCGAAGACGACAGCATCGAAGAGGAAGAAGTCGAAGAGGAAGAAGTTAAAGAAGACGAAGAAGTCGAAGCAGTCGAAGAAGACGCAGAAGGCGAAGAGGAAGAAGTCCAAGAAGACAAAGAAGTCGAAGAGGAAGAAGTCTAAGAAGACGAAGAAGTCGAAGACAAAGCAGTCGAAGAGAAAGAAGTCCAAGAAGACAAAGAAGTCGAAGAGGAAGAAGTCCAAGAAGACGAAGAAGTCGAAGACAAAGCAGTCGAAGAGAAAGAAGTCCAAGAAGACAAAGAAGTCGAAGAGGAAGAAGTCCAAGAAGACGAAGAAGTCGAAGACAAAGCAGTCGAAGAGAAAGAAGTCCAAGAAGACAAAGAAGTCGAAGAGGAAGAAGTCCAAGAAGACGAAGAAGTCGAAGACAAAGCAGTCGAAGAGAAAGAAGTCCAAGAAGACAAAGAAGTCGAAGAGGAAGAAGTCCAAGAAGACGAAGAAGTCGAAGACAAAGCAGTCGAAGAGAAAGAAGTCCAAGAAGACAAAGAAGTCGAAGAGGAAGAAGTCCAAGAAGACGAAGAAGTCGAAGACAAAGCAGTCGAAGAGAAAGAAGTCCAAGAAGACAAAGAAGTCGAAGAGGAAGAAGTCCAAGAAGACGAAGAAGTCGAAGACAAAGCAGTCGAAGAGAAAGAAGTCCAAGAAGACAAAGAAGTCGAAGAGGAAGAAGTCCAAGAAGACGAAGAAGTCGAAGACAAAGCAGTCGAAGAGAAAGAAGTCCAAGAAGACAAAGAAGTCGAAGAGGAAGAAGTCCAAGAAGACGAAGAAGTCGAAGACAAAGCAGTCGAAGAGAAAGAAGTCCAAGAAGACAAAGAAGTCGAAGAGGAAGAAGTCCAAGAAGACGAAGAAGTCGAAGACAAAGCAGTCGAAGAGGTCGAAGACAAAGCAGTCGAAGAGGTCGAAGTCAAAGCAGTCGAAGAGAAAGAAGTCCAAGAAGACAAAGAAGTCGAAGAGGAAGAAGTTAATGAGGAAGAAATCCAAGAAGACCAAGAAGTCGAAGAAGACATAGAAGTAAAAGAGGAAGAAGTCCAAGAAGACGAAGCAGTCGAAGAAATCGAAGACAAAGCAGTCGAAGAGGTCGAAGACAAAGCAGTCGAAGAGGTCGAAGTCAAAGCAGTCGAAGAGAAAGAAGTCCAAGAAGACAAAGAAGTCGAAGAGGAAGAAGTTAATGAGGAAGAAATCCAAGAAGACCAAGAAGTCGAAGAAGACATAGAAGTAAAAGAGGAAGAAGTCCAAGAAGACGAAGCAGTCGAAGAAATCGAAGACAAAGCAGTCGAAGAGGTCGAAGACAAAGCAGTCGAAGAGGTCGAAGTCGAAGCAGACGACGCGACGTCGGTCGAGTCGGGCCGGGCCAGCCCGAGAACTGGCCCATCATAATGTATACAGTTTTCGCAACATATTCGAGGAGGTATTTCGCTTGCTCGGCGCGTTTTCGACTTTTCGTTTTGCAACGCGAACGAGACGCGATCGCGATCCATCGGGGACCAACGAATCGACCCTGGCCCCCGTTTCTCTCTCTCTCTCTCACACACACTCTTTCTCGTGGATTACTATAGCTCGATGGTCCCACTTGGCACGAAAATCGCTACCCTATACGATCTCTCTAACCCTAGGCACGCGCTGCAACTTTCGTAGAATATTTCTGCCAGCGTGCGCTTGTTGTGCAAAGGCCTGATAGGCATCGTCGCCCGAATATCGTAAAAAGATGAAGTCAGAGCAATCTGAAGAAAATGTTATCGCGTTTCGAAACGATGTAGAATGAAAATGGGAGGGTAACGGATAAAATTATAACGAGCACGATGAATAATTTATTATTATAAATTGTGATGTAAATTATGATATATTATATATTATAAATAATGATATATTATACATTAGAAATTATGGTATATTATATATTAGAAATTATGATATATCGTATATTATAAATTATGATACATTACGATATATTATATACCATATAATTATGATATATTGTAAGTACTTTTTACGCGCGCGACGAGTATGCTCGTCGTGACACGAAATATTGGCATTTCTTCGCGACGAGTATGCTCGTCGAGAACGGCTAACTGATTGAACAGGTGTCCGGGAACGTTTCTAATCGAACAAGGCGTCGCTCTGACGTGTGCGAAAAAAAAACCAGAAAAAAATTAAATCGTTCCAATACGAATAAAGTTATCGCGCGTTTCCAAGGCGTCGCTGATCGCGCGTGTTCTCCAGCGGGAAATGTTCTCCGGTATTCGCGGTCATCCCTGCCCGAAGGATCAAGGGACGATAGAGTAGGTCAGCTGGCGATCTCGCTGCGGGTTCGCGGACGAATCGGTGGCCGACTGGTGGCCGGTGATTAATGGACGGCACCCGTTCGAGTCCGTTCGCCGGCGGCTGGCCTTGGCGGGAATTCTCTCGGCGTGGCGGCCGAGAGTTGTATCGAAAGCGAAATTCAACGGGTTACCAAACCGCCCGATCGTCCAGCTGGCCACCGCGGGTGGACACCCACACGTCGCTGCCATAAACGCGCGCGAGCGCGCACGGGCGCCTCAAGGACGCGGTAATTAATCGACGCGAGCACCTACGGCATCGAAATGAACAATTAGCAGGAGACAGGCGGCGTTCTCCTCTTCCGCGACCTCCGCGTCCGACGCCAGCAAATGGCTTCGTGGAAACAATGACGACGCCATCTTGTCCCGGTGTACATACGGTAATGTCTCTCCAATTGACGCTCGGATTGTCCACGGAAAATGGACAATTTTGGAGAACGTATCGTGAACCTGGTCCCTTTAATCCTAATCATTTCTTTAAATGATTCGAGTCGATTAGACCAGTTTGGAAAATGTTATTGCGTACAAAAAGGGTTAAATTTTTGCCAGGGGTTGGTACTCTCGGATAGAGTCGTCGATGTGCAAAATAAAAACGGTCCTCGTCGATCGAGGATAACCGCGTCGGCTTGAAAACAATTCGTTGGACGTTCGTAAATTCTTCGAATATCTTCATCGTATGAAATCTCGTCCGGCTATTTTTCTCAGAAACGCTCTAGTTAACGTGCTCTTGGAAAAGTCCGCTTCTCGAAAGACGCAGTCGTCGGCGTTGTGTATCGCGGCGCGCGAACGGTCGTTCAATAAATCGTTGCACGTTTCTTTTCCCTTTTTTATTTTGTTCTTTTATCATCCTGTTCGCCGCGCCTAACAGCGGGTCATTTACAAGTAAAATGGAATTACTCCTCCTACATTAGACGGTCAATTATTTTCAAGGAAAGAATCGTTTACGATGTCCCTTTTAATGGCGTGCCGCGTACGTGCCACGGACGATGATGCGCTCACCCAGCCCCGTCAAATTTATAACAAGAGAGCGTGCGTCTTCGATCGCATAATTTATATCCCGTCGTCCGGCCAATGGGAATCGCTCGATGATGATGATGTATTTATCGATTTCCTTGTGGGTTTTGCTGCGAGTGGTCCATCTCTCCTTGCACGTCGCGTACCGTGCAAGAAAATCGAATGGAATGGAATTGATGAAGTAGAGCAATCGGATAAAATTAGGAGATAAAGTAGAACAAAGTAGATCAAATGAAACATAAAAATAAAATAGAGTAAAATAGAATAGAATAAAATGGAATAAAATAGAATAAATAGGATAAATAGGATAAAATAGAATAAAAATAGAATAAATAGAATAAATAGGATAAAAGAGAATAAATGGAATAAATAGGATAAAATAGAATAAATGGAATAAATAGAATAAAATAGTATAGAATAAAATAGAATAAAATAGAATAGAATAGAATAGAATAAAATAGAGTAAAATAGAGTAAAATAGAATAAAATAGAATAAATATTAGAATAGAATAATAGAATAATATATAATAGAATAAAAATAAAATAAAATAGAATAAATAGAATAAAATTTCCAGCTTCCTGCGACCAATAGTTCGGACAGTCTCAGCAGCATGAAAGAACCGTGAAGCTCCAATTACCCAGAGAGATGACCCGCAGGAAATAGATAAAAAAAGAGAGGATAAATTGGTATCGTTGGTGGTATCGTCGCCGAAAATCAGCTCGATCGATCGCCGAAAGGACAAAAGGGGCGCGATCCTCGTCCGGGATCGCCGGTGAAATTGGTTCGAGCGGCATTGTTAATGGCGGAGGCGTGTAACGGTACAAGGTCATGGCCGGATTCATGGTCGGAATTGCGCGATAGTCGAATCGCGATCCGTAACAAAGAATTCGATGCGTCTCTCTCTCCCTCCCTCTCTCTTTCCATCTCTGCGGTTTCGCAAGAATTTCGGCGCGGCCTGATCCCGAGGACGACCCGCTTCTAATTCAATGCCGGCGTCGAAAATCGCGACAGAAAATCGACGGCGTTTATGTAACCGAGTTAAGTAACGGACGCCCTCGTTCGTGCAACGAGAGACCGCCTCGAATTGGTTCATCCGCGGAATTCTGGAAGATTGGAGGAGCCTCGACGATCGCCGTTTTCGCGTTCTTGAAGGGAGACTGTCTGCTGGTAGCCTGAAGGTAGCCCGAAGGTAGCCTAAAGGTAGCCTAAAGGTACCTTGAAGGTAGCCTAAAGGTAGCCTAAAGTTAGCCTAAAGGTAACATAAAATGAAATAAAATAGAACAGAATAAAACACAATAAAATAGAATAGAATAAAATGAAATAAAATAGAATAAAATAAAATACAATAAAATAGAATAAATTAAAATACAATGAAACAGAATAGAATAAAATACGATAAACGTAAAACTCGACCATAAGTTAATAACTTCTCCGACGAGTTCGCAATCAAGCCCATTATTAACCAATTAATACCATCGATAATATCGCGACAGTAATTAGCGAGGCACCAGGCTAGAGCCTGGCTTTTTGCGCAGAACGTCATCGCCGACAGTCGCTGCATTGCAAATGCGTTAACGACGGTAGACAATGTAAACGAAAACTGATAAGAGAAAACTAATAATAGCCAACTTGTTCCTCGAACGACGGCTATCGTACGACAACTATCGGCGATGGTTCTCCCGTGCAAAGTACAAGTGTTCCTGTTTACCGTGGATCCGAGAATAACAGGTTCCGCGTTTCATTGTTGCAGAATCTCGGGAAACCGGTGGCGAACAAGGAGGGGACAGCACACCGTAGCGGCGCAAGGATCTCGGGACACACGGTCTCCCCAGTGGGTTCACCGATAGGAAGAAGGACTTGAGCCAGCGACAATGTCGATCGTGATGCAGTACGTGGACCGGCTCCACGAGATACTCGACAAGAATGCAGGTGAGCTGGCCGCGCTCGGAGAGCTGACCCCATTAGAGGAGGCGGGATCCTGCGACTTCCTTGCGACTTCCTTCGGCGGCGGTCGACTACGGCTGGTCGAAGAGAACCCCCTATAACCGGCTCCCGTGAACGGGGCACCCAAAGCCGACTAGCAATCTCAGGGACGATCGCCGGCCGACTAGGCGCGCGAGTTCATTACGAAACCAGAGGAAAGTCCCTCTATCCTTTCGCCGGTTTCTCGCCTCGTTTTGCGCCGCGCGACCGCCAGAGAGAACGATCTACGATCGCGACATTTTCGGGGTCTGGTGTCTACTGAGAGAGAGAGAGAGAGAGAGAGAGAGAGAGAGAGAGAGAGTTTTTACTCGAGAGAGAAGACTTTTTTACTCGGCGAGATTCGTAGAGCATCGAAGCGAAGACTCCTTTTTTTCTGCATACATTGGGGAGAATTTTTAGAGCTAGTAATAGCTGTACTATTTTTTTACTCAACTTTGTATCTCTTACACTTCGTTGAATCTCAATATTTAATGTTCAATATTTTTATATTTTTTATTTTATGAGATTTTATAATATTATTATAATGTTTGATGTTTTTTAATATTTAATTTATGCTATAAGTTTGGAGTTTTCGCTGGTGTGTATCAGATTAATCAAATGGTTCATTATTTGTGCATACGTGTTTTGTTTCATCCTAATACTAAAATTGTACTTGTGATGAATTACTGTTTCAGTTAATGGACTTGACAGAGTATATATGTATTTGTAAAATATAAATATAAAATTATTCACTTATTCATGTATATGTATAGCTTTGTTCTCGAAATATATGCTATATACTTGTCAGTTCGTTAACCAAAATAATAATTTAGCTCAAATGCAATTTAGTATGAGGAATAAAATAAGATAACGATTGTGAACCATCTGTGTTAGGGCAAAAGTTTCACGTTCTTCGCAATGGTTTCTTCGTATCGATTGCCTTGCATATTAATTGGATTAAATTGTTGCAAATGAATTGGATTAAACTGTTGCAAATGAATTGGATTAAACTGTTGCAAATGAATTGGATTAAATTCTTGCATATTACTTGAATTCAATTGTAGCATATTAAATTAATTCAATTGTTGCAAGTGAATTGGATTAAATTGTTGCAAATGAATTGGATTAAATCGTTGCAAATGAATTGGATCGAATCGTTGCTAATTAATGTTGCAAGTCGCAATTCACCGATGCAATGGTGATCGCCATAAGCTTGTAAACGCGGAAGCACGATCTTCGACGACACTCGCATCGCCGTTCGAGGGCGAAAAGCGTGTCCGCGCGCAATCGCCAAGATCTCCGTCGCGACGATGACTTTGTGTTTAATCGCGATCTGGGTATATCAGCGAAGAAAAGTTGGAATTTTCCTTGGGATCCGTTGTTGACGATCGTGAAAACGAAGTGACCCGATGTGTGCTCGCGCGTGTGACGTAAATCGACGAGAAAATCATTCACTGTTAATTTCCGTCGCTAATCGCCGTCTCGCAAGAATGAAACGAAAAAAACCGCAGGCTTCTTGTCCTCGTCGTGTTTACATAAAGAGAGGGAAAAAAAGGCGGGAAGAAAGAGACACTGTTAACAATCGTCCCCGTGACAACTAGGGATAAAGATCATAAAGTTGCAATTAATCTTCAGTCAAGGCTCGACTGAATTAATTAGCGACGCGATCAATCGACGGTATTATCCAATGGTTCTTTTTTTTCGAGCTGAGACGCGACGCAGGAAGCTACACTTTTTCCGCGCTTGATCCTTTAAGGATGATAAATGAAATGGCAAATAGTACGACAACCGTGTCACGCGTCCCCGTGATTCATTGCCGCAACTTGTCCGGAGTGTGCCAACAGCTTCGTTAAACAATCTGCATCTAATGAAAGCCTAATGGAATCTACTAGATTTTGTTAAAAATAGCGATTTCGCTCGGTACGATGCGCGGACTCGACGAACCTGTTCAAAAAATTACATTGGATTTCGTAATCTGGAGAAGTTTATAAAGTTATAAGTATAAATTACATAACGAAAATGAACATATTACAGATAAATTATAAAATTAAATTGCATACTATATTGCATGCTGTTTGAAAAATAACAGTGTATCAAACTGTTGGAAAAATAATATTAGATTCGACTATCTGGAGAATGATATCAGATTTTTGACAACCTGAAAAATAATGTCGGATTTGACAATCTAAAAAATAGGCGAAAATGCAACCAGCGGCTTTGTTTTCGACGGATCCCTCGATAAATTAATTCTCCAAAGTTTGACGAAACGCACGGACCTCGCAAAATTTTTCCCAGAGATGCCGTTTCCACGGAAATAAAGATCGATTCTTCCTCTTCAATTATAAAAAAAAGAAACCCGGCTGCGATTTTTTTTCGCGAAGTTACCTCACTTCGAAGTAACCCATTGCACTTCCGGTACGAAATCGGAACTCGCGTTAACAGGCTTACTTCGAAGTGCTGTAACTTCGCGGGAAAAAATCGCAGCCGAGTTCCGTTTCCTTCAAATTAAAGAGAAAGAATCGAACTTCGCTCCTCCCCAAACGGCGACTCCGGGAAAAATTTTGTATTTGTGCAATTTTCGTCGAGCTTGGGGATTTTAAATACGACGATCATGGCCTTGCGTTCAGAGGGTCGCAGCGGCGAGGGTGCCGCAAACTTCAAATCGAGGAACACTGTCTTAAAGTAGAGGTTTCGAGCTTTCATTTAAAAAAAGAGTCGTCGCTCTACGACGATTTCCCGCGGAGTTATCGCCGGTCGAAGTTGGTCGATCCGTATACGTCCGCGAGTTAGTCGCGTGCAAGAGCGACTCCGCTGTTTCCGAACAGTTCTAAACAGATCGGAAAGTTCCATACGGCGCCGGCTGTGCTCGCAGCGGGTAGAATGCGATTCGATTTCGAAGAAATGCACGCGATTCGAGGCGAAATAAAACCGGCACGGGTTACCCGCGTCCGGCGAAAGTCCGCGGCGCCGAGGTTGCGAAAGAATTCGAGGATCAAATTCTCGAGTTAATTATCGGCGTGTACCGCTCGGAATCCGATACGCCCATGAAATATCCCCCAAGAGAGGAACTAGACCCGTGATTTCTTCGATTTTCATAGACCGCGAGGGGGCAGACACGCCGTGATTTCTCTGGAGAAGGGATTTGCGCAACGTCGTGTCGTTGCCGCAATCGCAGATTTCTACGCGAAATCGTGTTGTCGCGATTCCTCCGGCGAACCTTTCATTAAACGGCCGACAAAAAGAGGACGAGCCGCGGTGATTGATCGGTAAAGATCGACGGAGATCGACGGCGGAATAAGAATAACTTATTCAAGAGTAATAATCGTCGCGGGACGCGACGGGGATCGGTCTCGCCTTCGTTAACATAGTCATTACGCCGTGGCAACAATTCCTACGCAATTAGGCGACGGAAAAAACGGTGCAACAAAAAACGCCGATGTATGCAGAATCGCATGAGAATGCGATTTCGCGCGAAAATTGCGCGACAGTGTGCTTGAAATGCTCGCGACGCGTTGTTTATAGATTGTTACATAAGGTCAGGGATCGATCGATCGATCGATTGGATTCTGATGTCCGAGAACGTCGGACATCCTTCGAAGTCTGACCGGAAACGTCTGTGCAAGAGACGTCGCAAAAAGTCGCAAAAAGTCGCAAAAAGTCAGGCCGCGGACGCGATGCATTTGCGGTGAAGAACGGAAAACAACGAGAACGTTAGAATTTAACAGTGGATTTAATAATAAAAATTGCGGATCTTTGGGCGAAATGAAAATGATTTAAGTCTCTCGATCGTGGGAAATATAAATTACAGATGAGAGCATCTTTTCTCTGTTGACGATCGTAATTTGTTGAAATCGATGCGACGACGTCCTTAAATTCTTCCAATGTCTTCTCAGCTTTGCGTTAAAACCGATTCGTTTATCTCGTAAATGCGATATGAAAAATCGACGTTCGAAGGTGTGGAACTGCGAGAATAATTCAAATCTTGAGAGGATCCTTCGCGCGTGGCGAAGGAAGGAACGAACGAACGACGGAAAGAAAAAGGTAATTAATGCGGAGAAGATCGAATGATCCGAAGATGCGTAGACAGCTGAAGAAGTTGAATCTGAAGCTGACAGCTAACAAAGAGCTGCTGACGAACGAGAAAATTAAAGTGAACGGCAAACTTCGGCTAATAGCTGCCGCTGGAAATACTCGATGACCGAGCGAAGTAAAAAGTTGGAAAAGTCAACGAAATATGGTTTTCCTCGAACAACGATTAACATCGGGTTTACGAAACGTTTTAACACGTTCTATCCTGTTCAATTAGGAACACTGCGATGGAAAAGATTTGCGGGGAATTTATTCAGTGATGTTTTTACATTCGACGTACATGTAATGATAGCATAAATTCCAGTGGGAAGCAAAATGGAAACAAATTTATCCCACAGATTCCTTAGGAATGTATCTTCGATTTCAATCAAGAAGTGTTAATCTTATTATTTTATTTGTATATTTGTATAATTCTATTATAAATTAATAATAGATATATTTTTATAATATAATATATTTATATATATCTACATTTGTAATTAGTAATAAAATTATATCAGCTCGAAACTGACTTCATATACGTTTTAATATATTTTATATACTTTTAGAACACGCTTTAATACATATCGCAAAAGAATATAAAATACATTGAAACAGTCGGTATAGTCAGTACACAGAGTTAATATAATTTTATTAGCGATCATATCGTTAACAGCATATATAATTAAAGCCGGTGTTAATCGGAGGCACGATTATCTCGAACGATCGCGGGACGCCGGAGATTTCGATGAGCGCACAAGCGAAGCTCTACGGCAGGGTGGTCGTAGCAGGAATCGCGTTGCAGTTAGGCGAACGTCACTGGTTGTGCCGGCCGGGCACGTTGCATCTGCGTTGAATAATTCAATGGCCGCGATCGGACAGGGTTTCGTGGAAGATCCAAGAAGAGGATCGAACTTCGTCAACGTTCTCGAAGATTTCCTTTTTACATTTTAATGTTGAAGCGTGTCGCGAACGATTATTATTGATCGGGAGCAGTTCGTTCCTTTTAAAAAGCTTTACACGCAGGAAAATATTATTTCTTTTCGTTTTAGATGGGAACCCCTCTTTTTAGGAGCCCTTTGACGAAGAAAAATATTTTCTTTTGATAATAAGAACCCCTCTTTTTAAGAACCCTTACGCGGAGAATAATATTATCTTTCTCTTTTTGAAAATAAGAGCCCCTACACGGAGATAAATATATTTTTTTTTATAAGAACTTTTTAAGAACCTCGCAGGGTAGACCTGGAGGAAGAATAAAAAACTGACGCTCGTCAAAATCCAGAAGAAGCGAATATATAGAGAGTGATCTAAGAGAGTGACCTCAAGGTCGCGACGAAGGAACGTATCGTAGCTTGGGTCGTTCCTTCCGGCGATTGGTATCTTCGAAAAGCCCTGAAGAGCCGGGGCCGCGGCGAGGTCCAAGGGCGCCGGATCGTTGAACCCGTAAATGGAAATGATCCTCTCTCGCAAAAGTCGACGAACCCGGGAAACCAGTGGAAGAAAACCGATCCGTGGCGTGTCTGGAATCGTCCGTGACGCGTGTGGCGGAACGATGGGCGTCGATCCGGAATCGATTCGACCTCGATCCGATCCGCGGCGAGACGATTACGCTTCCCGAAGACCCTGAAAACGGCGGATGAAAGCGCAGCCAAGGTCGCCCGTGGACCAGGCAGAGACGATTTAATGAAACGGACTACCCGGCAACTGGTTTTTCAATGCGGTGACGCGATAGTTGATTGAACCTCCGAAGGCCGGGAAGGGCGAGGAAGGCTTCCCCGCGCGTAAAGTCTCAAGGTCGAGGTTGTTACACTTTTACCGGCCAGGTGTGCCGCGCCGTATCCCGTGTCATCTCGAGTCCCTCGACCCACAACTTCCTCCACGGTACTTCTCCTCGACCGGCGAACCACGTGGACACCTGCCGCCATTTTCGTTTTGTTCGACAAAGTGCTTCTTCAGGATGGATCTTCCGACGACCTTCGAGGACCCTTTCGGGCGTCGTTGCACGATTCTTTCGGCCCCTTGGACCTCGAAGACAGTTGGAAGAGAATTTTCAGACATAATTGGAAGACAGTGTGGAAGATAATTAAAAGACAATTTAGAATGTACAGTAAATACTGCCGAATTAATTAATCAATTTTTCCTGTGCGGGAAGCGATGAAATCCTGCAGTCTTTTAACGGAGAGACGATCGCGGAAGATCTTCTATTCTTTTCTTTTCTTCATGTTTTAAATAAGAGTTAGAGTCGCGTCGATTTCGAGGTCATTGGCCGACACGTGGGAGATTGTTCTCTCTTAGTATAATTATTGAATTTTTTGTCAATTACCGGTTGACCGATTAGAACCGACGTTTCAGATCAAAGGACGACGAACTGGTTCATGATGCGCTCCCCGTTCCCGACGCTGTTCATCTGCCTGAGCTACGTGTACTTCGTGAAGGTGATCGGCCCGAAGCTGATGGAGAACAGGAAGCCGTTTCAGCTGAAGAACACGTTGATAGCCTACAATATGTTCCAGATGATATTCTCGGCGTGGCTGTTCTACGAGGTACTCTCCCGTCTCTCTCTCGCTCTCTCTCTCTTTTTTTCTCTTTTTCTCAATCTCTCTTTCTTTATTTCTCTATCACTCCCTCTCTCTCTTTTTCTCAATCTCTCTCTCTCTCTCTTTATCTTTTCCTCACTCTTTCTTTTTCTCATTTTTCCTTTTTTTCTCACTCTCTCTCTCTCTCTCTCTCTCTCTCTCTCTCTTTCTCTCTTTTTCTCCTTTTTCTCTCTTTTTCTCTCTTTTTCACTTTTTTCCTTTTTTTCTCACTCTTTCTCTCTCTTTTTCTCTGTTTTCTTTTCTTTCTCACTCTTTCATTCTCTCTCTCTCTCTCTCTCTCTCTGCGTCTATCTTTCTGTTTCTCTCTCGCTCTCTCTCTACCTCTCTGTCAACAGCCACCCACCGTTCCATCCACTCCGCCCACGCGCACGTGCACCATATCTCCATCGAACCTGAATCATCCGGTCGGCCTCGCCGATGACAAAATTCCATCAGTGTTTGCATGCGTAACTCCGCGTGAACCTCTGCGTGAAACGCTGCGTGCACGACCGTCGAAGCAGGCGGGGCGGGTGTCCTCACGCGTGCCCGACGATTCCTGTGAACCTGTCGGAACGTCCGGTCGAGTTCGAAACCGTATGCAAGGTGCAAGGTGTGCAGTCCTATGACGTAGGCCGGATAGTATCCGCGATATAGGCGAGCGCGACGCCTTTTCTTTTCCGCGTGACCGCCTCGCCGATCCAGGCGGAGGCCGGCTCTGCTTCCACTTGCCGCCGGGAACTGGGAACTGGTCGACGCTTGGCGAATTGCTATCCGATCGGTCCGCCAAAGCTGTTCTCGAGCTCTTACGATCGATCCTCGTGCCGCTTTTCACGCGGTTCTTGTTTATTAACGCTAAACCTACCGAGCAGCAACGGCGACCGGTGAGACGAAATGCGCTCGGTAAGAGTGAAATGATAGAATTCATTTGGATCTAGTGAAGCTTTAATTGTAAAACCTGCTTCCATAATGTAATTTATTCGATCGTTTCCCACGAGGAAGTCTCTTAATCCTTTCGTAGGCACTGGGAACCACGCTTCCCACCCGCTTTTCGTTGCACATATGGTCACCATGCTCAAATAGTTCCACCGTTGAAATGTACTCTGCCATCTTGAAATTTATATTGTGCCTATGAAAGGAGTTCGTGGCATCGTACAATTAAAAACCGGTCATTTTCATCGTGGTAGGTTTAGTGTTGAAGTCGATGCGAATGTTACTTGGTAGAATTAATTGGTGGAACGGGTCTCTTTGACGTTTCTAAAGCTCTTGTTCGCTAGAAAATGCTCCAAGCTCCGAGACAAATTCGTAATTCTTAGCTGCAAGCTCTGTGAACAAAATAGAATAGAGTCTGTTCGTTCATGAATACGTCAACGAATTTCTTGGTCAAACGAATGTTTAGATTCCATCTTCTTGACGTTACCAAAGCTCTCGTTTATTAGAAAATGAATCAAGCTGTCCGAGCAAATTTAAAACTGTCGAGCAAATATCCAGCGAACAGACCAGAATAGACTCCGATCATTGCCGAGTACGCCAGCAGAATGGCTATAGTTATCCATGCTCTTCCAATGAAAACAAACGCTCCTCTCGACGAACCGACTTTCTCAGATNCTTTCTCTCTTTTTCTCCTTTTTCTCTCTTTTTCTCTCTTTTTCACTTTTTTCCTTTTTTTCTCACTCTTTCTCTCTCTTTTTCTCTGTTTTCTTTTCTTTCTCACTCTTTCATTCTCTCTCTCTCTCTCTCTCTCTCTGCGTCTATCTTTCTGTTTCTCTCTCGCTCTCTCTCTACCTCTCTGTCAACAGCCACCCACCGTTCCATCCACTCCGCCCACGCGCACGTGCACCATATCTCCATCGAACCTGAATCATCCGGTCGGCCTCGCCGATGACAAAATTCCATCAGTGTTTGCATGCGTAACTCCGCGTGAACCTCTGCGTGAAACGCTGCGTGCACGACCGTCGAAGCAGGCGGGGCGGGTGTCCTCACGCGTGCCCGACGATTCCTGTGAACCTGTCGGAACGTCCGGTCGAGTTCGAAACCGTATGCAAGGTGCAAGGTGTGCAGTCCTATGACGTAGGCCGGATAGTATCCGCGATATAGGCGAGCGCGACGCCTTTTCTTTTCCGCGTGACCGCCTCGCCGATCCAGGCGGAGGCCGGCTCTGCTTCCACTTGCCGCCGGGAACTGGGAACTGGTCGACGCTTGGCGAATTGCTATCCGATCGGTCCGCCAAAGCTGTTCTCGAGCTCTTACGATCGATCCTCGTGCCGCTTTTCACGCGGTTCTTGTTTATTAACGCTAAACCTACCGAGCAGCAACGGCGACCGGTGAGACGAAATGCGCTCGGTAAGAGTGAAATGATAGAATTCATTTGGATCTAGTGAAGCTTTAATTGTAAAACCTGCTTCCATAATGTAATTTATTCGATCGTTTCCCACGAGGAAGTCTCTTAATCCTTTCGTAGGCACTGGGAACCACGCTTCCCACCCGCTTTTCGTTGCACATATGGTCACCATGCTCAAATAGTTCCACCGTTGAAATGTACTCTGCCATCTTGAAATTTATATTGTGCCTATGAAAGGAGTTCGTGGCATCGTACAATTAAAAACCGGTCATTTTCATCGTGGTAGGTTTAGTGTTGAAGTCGATGCGAATGTTACTTGGTAGAATTAATTGGTGGAACGGGTCTCTTTGACGTTTCTAAAGCTCTTGTTCGCTAGAAAATGCTCCAAGCTCCGAGACAAATTCGTAATTCTTAGCTGCAAGCTCTGTGAACAAAATAGAATAGAGTCTGTTCGTTCATGAATACGTCAACGAATTTCTTGGTCAAACGAATGTTTAGATTCCATCTTCTTGACGTTACCAAAGCTCTCGTTTATTAGAAAATGAATCAAGCTGTCCGAGCAAATTTAAAACTGTCGAGCAAATATCCAGCGAACAGACCAGAATAGACTCCGATCATTGCCGAGTACGCCAGCAGAATGGCTATAGTTATCCATGCTCTTCCAATGAAAACAAACGCTCCTCTCGACGAACCGACTTTCTCAGATTTCCCAAACGCGTTCGCGAATTGTCCTTCTCGACGCCTCTCTCGGCCTGTCGTAAAATCAAAAAACCGATCCTAGCTTCTGACGAGGCGGAACAACATGCCCGTATGAGATATCTGAAAGTCCGGAATGTTTGTGTAACGTTTTCTGTTCGACGCGCGAAATCGACTGTACGAAAGGAGCCGTGCGTTGCATCAGAATTATGAATAAACGATCGGCGCGCGAACGAGAGCGGGGGTCCAGCCGCGGCTCTCGGTGCCTTTAGCGGCCAAGAACGTGGCAATGTTTATAAAACGGCGAAAGTTAAGGAGAGCGAGAGCCCCGTGTGGGTGCACGCGGGAGTAACAGTTGACGCGACGCGAAGCAATCTGCGCCGAGCATGCAACCGGTTTCGGGCTCGTTCGGGCCGCGGCGGCGGGGGCGGCACCTCGATAGATTGTAAGAGCGTGATAAAAGATTAATTTTCCTACCAACAAACAGTGCCTGATGGGCGGATGGTGGGGCGAGTATAGTTTCCGTTGCCAGCCGGTGGACTATAGCGACAGCCCGACAGCGATCAGGGTAAGTCCCCGTGTTTTTTCTGCCGCGATCTCTTCCGCAGGTGGACGACGGCCAGATCGATTCGCCCCCAACGTCGACGAGACGTCAACGTGTTCCGGACGAATCGCCGGAATCCGATTTCTCTCCCATCGAGCATCCGTGCACCGGTGTCTGCACGCCTGTCGTTCACAAGTCGCCGATTGCTCGCATTGACAAGCGTCGAGGATCTCCGAGAGCACGAATGATCGTCGACTTCTCGCGATTAGGCCGCGGATCTTTGTACATCGAAGATAGAAGAACCGGATAGATATTTCTCTCTGCTTGTTAACCCTTTGCGCCACGATTTCTGCGTTGATCCAAGCGCTTCTCTTTGTCGTTAACACGTTCAGCGCCGACGATTAATTAATTAAATACATTAAATATATATTTAATTAATTAATCATATCATCATATAATAATAAATTATATTATATATATAATATAATATTATATCTTATTGGATGACAGTAGAACGCTTTCGCATCCGAAACATCCCAGTGAAATTCTCAGTTTGTTCGATTACATTGCAATGGAAATGAATGTTCAAGATCGGTGAAAAATTAGCGTCGCCCATATATGTATTAGCGTCGCGGTAACGAATCGTAAAATAATCGTAAAATTGAAACGATCCAGCGAGATCAGCCTTTTCTTAAGCGCTTCTCCCGAGTCCTCGAGCGACTTCTGAACGACGGCGCGCGGCCGTGTGCGGACCTCTGTAAAAAAAAAAAGATAAAATTGCATTAGATGGGGTTCCTCGACGACAGACGCGGTGTCGCGTCTGTCGGAGAGCCCCGTGAACGGGCTGCGTGTACCAAAAATTCGGCCGACGAGAACAGTATGTTTCCAGCTTGTACGTGGACGCGTAGAATTTGTGAGGAACAACAGCACGCTGTTATAACGCGGTTTGTTTGATGCTTTTGTAGACGGCCGACCCGAGGGAAGGATTACGGAGCCTGTCAAGGAGGAGTAAAACGTGCTAAAACGCTTTCACGCTTTCACACTGTTTTTTAATCGTCGATTGCATCTATCCCCGACGACGGAGCCGGCCGAGCCGATTCGAAGTAGGGTCGGTCCCGCCTTGAATCGCGAGGACGAGGACGAAGACGACGACGACGACGATGACGAACGAGCCTCGCAAATTCCCATTCGGCGGACAGCCTCTTTCTTGCGCTGACGATTCATTTATCAAGGATCCCGCGTTTGGCAACGCGAACGAGCGAGCGAGCGAGCGAGCCCGTCGCTCTCCTCTCCGCGAAAACACGGTTTTCGCAACGGCCGTGTGCAACGCTTTGTTAACACTTCGCCGCGATCGCGAATTAAACGCTTGTGCGTGGTACGGTCGTGAGCGGAATTAAAACCGCGCGCTCTTCGCGAAGGTACAATTGCGAAAGTACGAGCATATTAACGCGTGTTATCTGCCGGCGATGGTTTCGTCATTTTTGCGAATCTACGATTTATCGTTGAGAACTTTTTAATCGATTGCGTAAACGGCAACGAAGACTTGGATCGTGTGCCAACAGGTCAGCCTGGCGACGTGGATCATTATTCTTCTTGGGATTATAATTTGGGATGAGGGTGTGTCGAGGGTTCATTGTAATAGTCATTAATAAAAAGTCATAGACATGAGTCAAGATATAAAAGTCATTTTCGTCTACAATTTGCCCAGCGATTCGCATAAAGTTTTCGTAACGCAGCGATCCGAGTTCTCCGTTTCACCGAGACCACCAAAAAACGTCGTCGAATCGTGAAAAGAAACGCTAGAAAATCGGCTGGCTCCGTCAATAGTCGCTTCTGTCTCTCGTTTCTGCTGCAGCAACAGCCGATCTATGACTCCGCTTCTGCTCCAATGTGTCTTATCTGTGCGTGAAGGTTGGACAAAGATTCAACAGGTCCCAGAGGACCGAAGATATGTATTGCTTCATCTTCGAAAAATTCGAAATTAATCCTTCTGACAGATTAATTGGCCTATTTTCAGTCGATCGTGCTCTCGAGGAACCGAACAGTGAGTAAGCAAGAGAAGAACGCACACAGCTGACGAGGATGCGTTCGTGTTCGACCTTCATTTTTCAACTGCGACCAAGAACATGCTGCACCGGCGGTGGTCGCAGCCCGGCTTTTTATTCCCTCTACTCTCGGCGTTCCCTCTTTCTACTTTCTTCTCTGTTTCTCTGTTTCTCTGTTTCACTATTTAACTATTTAACTATTTAACTATTTCACTGTTTCACTACTTTACTGTTTCACTACTTTACTGTTTTATTACTTTATTGTTTCATTATTTTACTGTTTTACTCTTTCACTCTTTCACTCTTTCCCTCTCTCATTCTTTCACTGTTTAACTATTTAACTATTTAACTATGTAACTATTTTACTATTTCACTACTCCACTACTCCACTATTGCACTGTTTCTCTAACCGTGTCTTTCTACGCTATCCTCTGTCTCAATTATTTATTCCTTTTTGGCCTCTGGGCGGTTGTGGTTGCAGATAGGAATGTCCGGATGGCTGACTGGCGAGTATTCCCTAAGGTGTCAACCTGTAGACTACAGCGATCGCCCCGATGTACTAAGGGTGGGTGACACATTCCCCATTAACACCTGCGAACACACACTAAACTCAGCATGTCCAAGTCGGTGCTTATCCAGATCCTTCAGAATGATCTCAGCCAAGAAAGAATCGATACCAACCTGATTCGAAACAAACAGCTCCAACGACCTCGTTAAAGTCTGTAAGCTCTGTAGTATATAGATCGTCTAAACTTTCATTTTCCCGGTGACAAATCAACTCAACTTGGCTGAATTTATTCCGAGGCAGCTATAGGAGCCAGTTTTAGCAAGAACAAAGGCTCGGGGGCCACTCGCGGAGCTAGCCACGCCTACAAAGGCCTCGTGGTGGGTGTAACTGCGAGCGAAAGCGGCGCGTAGCGAGCACGCTGTTGGTCTCGCTCGCATTTCCCCCCCACTGTTTCGATGCCCAGGCTCCGCCCAGTGGCCCTCGAGGCCCGATCGTTGCCTCTGCTCCCACTTGGGCGTGCCAGCATTAAATCAGACAATCGCCGCACATTCTCTCAACCAAGGTATCGGGTCAGATGTGATCGAAGAACTGTACAGAGTGTTTTGTAACGTTGGTGGCGACGATTTAAGTGGTCGGGGACAATACGATTTCGTCCCGAGATTATGTTCTATTGAAAATATTCGGTTGTAATATTCGTCTCTGCACACTTCGTACAGTTCGTTCGGCATCTTTAACCACCGTTCTTACGAGACGAACGTTGTTATTTAACAAAGCGTACAGACTGACCTTTGTGGGGATTTGTTTTGTAATCGGTGTGCATTCCGGGCGTAAACTGAGCCGAAGTTTATTGGTATGCGAGGTGTACTTTTGTAATTCGGCTGCCGTTCTATCTGTGTCTCTATTATCTTTGTATTTTTGATCGGAGCAATGTTCATTGGATCTTCTTAGCCCTGTATCCGCCAAGTCTCCACGAGAGTAGCGTTTGGAGACGACAGTAGCTATAACTCGGGCAAGCTAACACGCTCGGAGATATAGTCGCTTTTGCGCAATTAACAAAACTGTTGAAACGTGTACACGTCGCGTAAACGACGGCGAGACAGGAAAAGAAAAACCGATTAGTGGACGACGATTATAATTTGGGAACAGACGCGAACCACACGACGAACACACTACTACTACTACTCCGTTTACAATTCACACACATAGACCGCCGGTGGTCACTTACACGCTGCAGTTCGTGCACTTTCGCATTGATAAAGCCAATCGAGAAATTATCCGCCGACGGTTGCCTTCTACGATCTACGAAATCGAAACGAAACTTCGGAGCGTCAGCGTTTTTATTTATAAATACAATATACCAGTTTCGAATCTCTTTGATTTATCTGTAATTAAATATTGTAAATGCTTCCTAATCGACGCTGAGATTGTAAACAAAAATGGACAATTTGAGAAGAGGAGATACGATTGTTCAAGCCTTGCGGCACGTTTTTATAGTTGTTCACAGTCTGTAGCTATAAAAATAATTGTATCAGCTCTTCCCAAATCGTCAATTTCTGTGCGCAGTTTGAGCGCGAATTAGGGGAAATTATTGTACAACAAATTCTCCCTTATCGACGCTCAGATCGTACACAAGCTTTGCGACACGTTTTTATAGTTGTTCACAGTCTGTAGCTATAAAAATAATTGTATTTCCTCTTATCAAATCGTCAATTTCTGTGCGCTGTTTGAGCGCGAATTAGGGGAAATTATTGTACAATAAATTCTCCCTTATCGACGCTCAGATCGTACACAAGCTTTGCGACACGTTTTTATAGTTGTTCACAGTCTGTATAAAAATAATTGTGTCAGCTCTTCTTAAATCGCCAATTTTTCTGTGCAATTTGTGCGCGAATTAGGGAGAATTTTACTGTACGTTGAATAGTGAAAGAAATGGCTGGGGCTCCGAAGCTTCGGCTCGGTGATCCTAATCGTTGCGGTCAAGAACGATCTAATCGATGTTTTGCAAAACACAGATGGTGCACGCTTCTTGGTGGTATTACTTCTCGAAATTCACGGAGTTCATGGACACGGTGAGTAGAGAATCCGGGAGCCTTGTGTTCCGAGCGAGGCCGGTGTATCGTGTCTCGATCTTTTCGCCGGCAGAGAGTTTATCTAAAGATCTCGCATTGTTCGCTCGCCTTTGTAGATCTTCTTCGTGCTGAGGAAGAAGAATGACCACGTGTCGACGCTGCACGTGATCCACCACGGTTGCATGCCGATGTCGGTGTGGTTCGGCGTTAAGTTCACACCAGGTACGTGGAAGCTACGACGACGCCGGTCGCTTCTCTTTTCGAGCTAACAAAAATAATACGGTTCGGGCCGAGTAAATCTTGTTTCGTGGAATTTCTTCCTCCGGGAGTTGCTATTTCGATGTATACAAGAAGGACAAAGCGAGAGCGTAAGTTTTAGTGACGCCGTCGGACAAGCTCTGTCCAGCTGTCGTTCTACGATAAGTAAGAGGGAGGAGGAGGAGGTGTGCGGTGGATCTTAAAATTAAGCTTGTAATGCATTCGTGTAAATTTGCTGCAGGTGTTCCATCTCAGTCCTAATATTCTAGTAGCCTGTCCGAGTCGTCGGCTGTTGATACCAGGTCCAGATGTGGTCTCAGATTGAAAAATACGTTGAGAAGAAATGAATAATGGAAGAGTATGTAGGGAAGAAATAAATTGAAAACTATGCAGGGAAGAAATAAATTGGAAGGTATTGTAAAGAAGGAATAAATTGAGAAGAGTATGTAAAGAAGAAAGAAATTGGAAAGTATTGTAAAGAAGGAATAAATTAAAAAGTATTGTAAAGAAGAAATAAATTGAAAAGAGTATGTTAAGAAGAAAGAAATTGGAAAGTATTGTAAAGAAGGAATAAATTGAAAACTATTGTAAAGAAGAAATAAATTGAAAAGAGTATGTTAAGAAGAAAGAAATTGGAAAGTATTGTAAAGAAGGAATAAATTGAAAACTATTGTAAAGAAGGAATAAATTGAAAACTATTGTAAAGAAGAAATAAATTGAAATGAGTATGTAAAGAAGAAAGAAATTGGAAAGTATTGTAAAGAAGGAATAAATTAAAAAGTATTGTAAAGAAGAAATAAATTGAAAAGAGTATGTTAAGAAGAAAGAAATTGGAAAGTATTGTAAAGAAGGAATAAATTGAAAAATATGTAAAGAAGAAAGAAATTGAAGGATACGTTAAGATATGAAGTAGGTTGAAGAATATATTGAGAACGGATCCATTGAAAGATCTGTCAAAAAGAATGAAACTTGAAGAATCTATAAAAATGAGCTATGTTAAAAGAACTGTGTGAAAAAGAAGTTGACGCATGCGAGCCTATGGCAGCCAAGAAATGAAGAGGTGGTAGAAGATCGAACTTCGCGAGAAGACGAAGAAGCTCTCGAAGCCCGGAAAGCTTCTCCAATGAAACAGCCGACCAAAAACGGACGACAGACCGTGATTTCGTACCAGTTCGTTCGATTCTTCGCGACACTCTTGCCGATGCCCGATCGACGGTGTCCGCGGAGAGTCTAGTTTCGCAACTTTCCGCCGGAATTCGTGTCATTCGGTCGTTTTATCCTAGCAAACTGTCGGGCACGCGGTTTCGGGGCGGTCAGTGCCTAATTCGTGACGGGTTACCCCCCGGGCTGTAACAGGATTCCGGAGCGGGTGTCATTAAAACGGTTTCAGGCGGGAGGGAGGGAACGTGTCCCGGTAGAGAGAAAAAAATCGATGAATAGAGGTTTAACCGCCTGCAAGTTTTGCAACACCGTGCAAATAACGCACGCGAATATCGCGGCTGCAACTTTCTTCAACGTGAAACCTCGCGTACTTTTTTATCGAGAACCGCTCGCGCGGTCTCTCTCGTTAGGCGCGTTTCCTGAGCATGTCCTTGAAGCGTTGCACCGGGACCACGCTCGATGCCGATCCTGCCGCGAACTCGGTTGGAAATAACGTTCGAAAGGTTACGCGGTTTTCCCTCGTTAACGTCTCGTTTCCATGTTCGTCGTTCTACGTGACGCCGGTCCTCCTCGGTTCTTCGAGGACTACTTCAGCCAGTCGATACCGTTTCCTATTTCTCTTCGGCGGAGGTATAAGTATATAAAAGGCATCGCACGTGAATAAAAGATCTCGACGTCGAAAGCCGATCGTTTGCTGGAACGGGGTGCGCGAAGCGACTTTTCGGGGAAGACACGGAACGATGGTTGAACGAGATCCGTTGTTGTTTCAGGCGGTCACTCGACGTTCTTCGGTCTGCTGAACACGTTCGTGCACATCGTGATGTACACGTACTACCTGTTGGCGGCGATGGGGCCGACGGTGCAGCCGTACCTCTGGTGGAAGAAGTACCTGACGGTGTTCCAGATGACGCAGTTCGTCGCGGTGATGATCCACGCGTTCCAGCTGCTGTTCATCGACTGCAACTACCCGAAGGCGTTCGTCTGGCTGATCGGGCTGCACGCGACCATGTTCTTCTTCCTGTTCAACGAGTTCTACCAGCAGAGCTACCAGCAGAAGAAGAAGCGGTCGATGATGATGATGAACGGCGCGGCCGCGAAGGAGCGCCGGGAGAGCAACAGCGTGATGGCGAACGGTTCCACGAGCACGTCCGGTAGAAGGGACCCGGCCGACTACTACGTGAAGGGCGACAGCCTGGCGGCCTCCGAGCTGAACCTGCGAAAATCGTACACGACGGCCGAGTGACCGGGTCGCTCGGCCACGTCGTCGGACCGTCGTCATCGAATCATCTCGCCCCCCTATCCATCGATCCTCCGTGTCGCCGAATCCGGGCTGCTTCGCTCTTTCATGCTCCCGATCCTCGTCTGGCCACCGAGAAACGGACGTCGCCGCGTTAGAAGGTAGAAGGGCAACGAAAAACCGATAGACCACGCAGGGACACACACACGCGCGCGCGCATACATACATACACACAGAGAACACGAATGTCGCGTCGGGAAGAGTACAAAATTGCTCCGCGAGTCCACAGAAGGAGAGACAGACAGATAGATAGGTAAATAGATAAGCTAGGAATAGGTAGATAGTTAGCTAGGTAGACAGATAGCGAGAAAGAGAGCGCAGCGCGCACCCTCAATGTCACTGTCAACCAACGACCCGCGGCGCTCTGCCGCTCTTTGCTCGCCCCGCGACCCGCCATGTCAAACGCCGAACCATCGGGTTACGTTCACGAGTTACCTGTGGAAAGCTAAAGGATTACCGCCGATGATCCGCGGAATCCGCGGAGGAGGAGACCCCGTCTCGCGCCGACCGCGGTCGAACCATCGGTTTCGGCCGGTGTCGCCTCCTACTCCTCCTCCACGGTCTATCGTCGCTTTCCCATTAGAACGAATCATTGTCTAGCGGCATATATTTTTACAGTTTATATAATTTTGAAACGCGGCCGGGAGCCGCGTTTTTGCCCGCCACATCGGCTTCCTCGGCGGCGGCCGCCGACGCCGCCGCTCATAGATTATATAAAAACAAGGAATTATATAAGAGCGTTAACGGCGGAGTCTCGGATCGGGGTTACGCAACAATGCCGCGGTCCGTTATCTCGTTGCGCAATTCGGGAAGATCTCCTTTTTTTCGTGGATCTAGGACCGGCCCGATCGACCGTTGATCCCCGGCCGCCAGGAAATTCGTTCGCCCGAGACCACGACGACCTTAATATCCGACCCTCCGCGGCTCGACGAACTAGCCGCGAGTTCCCGCGAGCCGGCGCTTTCCTCCGCGGATTACGTAAAGCTCGCGCGAGCGCGCGCGGAAACCGGACCTCGGATCGGCGCGTTCGGCACCGCGCGAGATTTCGTCGACCTCGGGAGCCCTGGAATTCCGCGTCGAACGACCATCGTCGAGGCACGATCGCCGAGCTTCGGCGAGGTTCCGCGGACTCCAGGCGCCGGTCCGACCTTGTTCCGCGCTCGCGACTCGTCCTCAGGAGCGATTGTCAGGCAGCGTGACGGACGGCAGAACGGATTCCGATGGTTAGAGAGGTGCTCGAAACATTGTACATAATTTAACGTCGCCCTGTTTCCGCGTCCTCGACCAAAGCCGCTCGCTAACGGATCATCTCTTAACCGAGGTTCAAGAAGTCGTGAGATTTTCAGGATATACGTAGGACTCTGGAAAGTCTCTGTTATATTTTCGTGAAAAGAAACCTGTTCAGTTTTCCGCCTGCGATATTGTGTAAAAATCGGTTGTGTAAAGGCCAGGGGAAAGATGAAACGGTGAATCGCGAAGGTAGAGCCTTCCAGCTTTGTAAACGAGTTCGGATCGATTGCTGTGCATCTTGTTTTTGGTTTGAGGAAATTGTAGCAGCCGAAAATTCTGGAGTCACTAGTAGAGGGGCGTGTATTGCGCGATTTTTCTTTCGCTGCGCGAATCCTTTCCAAGCGGTTGAAATTAAACCCCGGGAGAGAACCCGTTGTTTAGCTGTTCTTTCAAGGATTAATTTGTACGCTTTGGAGCGCGTTCGAGCGGCCAAGTAAATTGTGTAATACGTGCCCGTACAAGTCCTGAGAGTTCCACCGTTTTCTGATTCTCCGGAACGACGATTTCTCCTTGTCAGGCGGAACCGGAAACAGGAGAGACAGCGAGAGTGAGAGAAGTAAAACGAGGGAGGGGGAAACATTTGGAGTTCAATTTGATGGGAAGGTTGTACAAAGTAATGCAGTTTTTTTTACTAATCGGTAATAAGAACGACCTAACGATCTAATGAATAATGTATAGATAAACGTAGATGTAGAATGATGCACCAAATTGCGACGTTTATACGCTTCGACTTACCGTTCGAGGACGACAGAAACGGATCTGTGCCGGCAATCGGCGGTTCAACCATTTTTTATAGCGCGATACTCCTTTTTTCCTAGACGAAATATTTTCGAGAACTCCAACATCAGTTTATTCGACACACTGTCTGTGTTAGAGATGCCATAATCGTGCAGGGTTTGCTATCGAAACTATTTATAGATGACAAATTACTTAAATACGGTCGAGACAACGTACAAGTACCTTCGAAAGTATATTTAGTAAATATTCGTAAATGAAGAGATTAAAAAATCTACCTGATTTTCGCTGATTGCACAACGTCTAAAATTTACAATAAACCGTGTACTTGTTGATAGCCTCGTGCAGACGATATTCTGTACAAAGCGTCGGATATTTCGTTCGGTAAATGGTGCAGCCCGTTTTCAAGCTCCTCGCTGATTGGCACTTAGCCGACCGTAATTGTACGAATCGCACAAACCTGAGGAAACGTGTTACGTCTTCGAGAACCGAGTGTTCGATTCTTGTAATGTGCCTTGCGAGTAACCCGATGTGCCTTAACATCTGGATATCGTGACGATGCGATCTCGAGGACCTCACAATTTTCCACGATACTAGACGACCGTCTTGGGTCGTCTTAGCGTAGGCTTCAAGGTCACTAACGTCTTCGCGATCTAGGCAATAAGATTCGACCTCGAGAAGCATCGTCCGATACTCCGGATCGTCGAAGATCTATTCGACCGGGATTTTTGGAGTTCGCAGGATACCGAGATCCCGGCTCACACAACAGTGCTAAATCGTCGAGAGTGTTCAGAACCATGGTTGTTTGTTGTTGTTGTTGTTGATGATGATGATGATGATGATGATGATGAAATCATTTGTTAGACTTTAGGGAAACGTCCGCGAGCATTTCTATTTTTCTCCAGCAGCGAAGTTCGGAAAGACGATCGCGCTCTCTGTTCATTCTATTTTTGTAGACGGAACGCTCGTTACCCGGAGAGATCTGTGATGTAGATCATTCGCGCGAAGAATCATCGTCGTTTTTTGTGTCCAAAATTAGCATGCTAGGTCTAATTTAATGATTGGACTGCGGATTTTATGAATTCATGAAGGAAATGATTAAATCATACTTGGGATAGCAGGGAAATTCAAAGTCTTTCAGAATATAGATCACTATCAACTTATCAACATTTTTGCTACGAGAAGCATTTTAAAATGCTTTGTACTAACTGGGGTTACCATTTAGAAATGGAGGAAAAATATCTGAAGAAAGTTTAATCATTTTCTTTTATAGAATAATCTCAAAAGAAGTTGGTACATTATTGAATGTAACATGTTTATCTTTGTTAAATCTTGAATTAGATATATTTAACATTTAGAGAACTATTAAGAGTGATCGTTGAGACAATTTCTTCTTGTCTCCTTGGTGCAATTTCATTCTGCATGAAGATCCGCGGTCTAGTAATGATACTTGCTCACGTGTTCTCGTAGAGATCGCCTAAGAAAAAAAACAGACACGAACCAATCATTGTTAACGTCTATCTATATATATATATATACATGCATATATATGTTGAATTGTTCGGGGTACGATCATGGTCATTGTGGATCATTCCTCCGCTCCTTTCCTGCCCTCTAAATCCTCGAAGAAAACTATGTACCACGGGAATAGAAATCGTACGATCAATTTTTTTGATTTAATGTGACGACACGATCGACGCGCACAAAACGTCCACTTGGTGTTTCGTTCGCTTTGCACGTTTCGTACACCTTGTACATAGGTAGGTTTAGTTTTGTACTATCGTAAGGAGAGTAAACTAGTGATGAGGACCCGAGGTAACCAATCATTTTGCCACGTTTCGCGGCGGAGTTAGGTGAATGGAAATTGGAGAGAGTGTCGTGCGCATAATGATAATTTATATACGAATCAACATCTAGATATTATTATGAATAAAGAGTTGTTAAGAAAAATCATTTTCTACCGGTGAAGAGTATAATTTACTCTGAATTGTTTTCTTTAGTTGCCAATTAAGCAGTTCAACAAATATATTCTAAGAACACACATATGTCCAGGAAAAATTGTTGCATCTGTTTACATGCTAAGATATTATTGATTGTTTCTAATATAAATCTGCCAATTTAAAGATTACGAAAATATTCAGAGGAGATTTTCCTATATCTACATCATGCAACAGAAGTTTATTTATTATTACAAATACATAGTACAATGTCTGGAAAGAATTAGTTGCTGTTTGAGCGTTAGCGACTATAGCGCCTCTTGTGGCGAATTTTAGAAGCTCCGTTCGAGGTCCGTACAGCGCCAATTAGGCCAGTGGCAAAACGCTCAAACTGTTAGCCAAAATCAGCTGTCGGCAATTTTGGCTAGTAGTTTCAGCGTTTTGCCACCGGACTAATTGGCGCTGTACGAACGCCGAAAGGAGCTTCATGTTTTCTCCACAAGAGGCACTACTGTCGCCCTAATTTTAAAACATTAATTATGACAAAATCAGCGGATAATAAAATAAAGTAAGAGTACAGAACTGTTCGGTAGAATTTACTGCATCGATGTCATACAAAAGAACAAATGACAACATTGCGAAACAAACATAATTGCTCTTTAAAGTCTACTTAACTATTATGTTAATCAAATATATTTTGTGTTGTTTCATTTTCTTACAGGATATCGATTTGTCTCCTATGGACAACACTGGCAAATGCGACAAAAATCATCTTTTCTTTACATTTGCGATAATAAATGAACATTTTAATACGACGTATATCCAGGCGAATCTCCTGAATATTTCTATAAGTACTTTCAGAATATGTACATATTTTTTCTGTATACGTTATTATAATACAAGTATGTAGGAGTGACAGGTTAAAAAGGCATAGAGTCGATTTAGGAAGAATTAGCCCGACTGTGTTAGGTTAAGTTAGTCAAAAGAACTTCACAATGCCAATTTAACCAAATTGACTATGATTGATTAACTTTTTAGAAACTGTCGCGATTCAGTCTTATGCTGCGTCTTATTGGAACAATGTACTAACGGAGAACTAATTGATAAGAGAACGCTGCTGGCATGCCCGAGAAATGTCTTTCATCTTTATCAGAGACAAACTAACAGTAAGTTTGTTCTGATGCAGTTCCTACAAAACTTCATTATTTTCCCTATCTCTGCTGGATGACTAATGGTCCCATAAATAACCATTCAGGGGTTATCACGCCTATAATTTAATTTATCTTCTTGAATCATTTCACTTCCTTCTCTAGGATAGGGAGACATAAATATCAACATGTTGTTCAATCCATGACTCAGCCGACCAAATTATACTTCAATAGTATTTTCTCATGCCCATTGTGTTCGTTATCCTGCTCTTTGTCACTTTCGCGTTCGAAAAATGATAATTTATGTGCAACACGATATTAATTTTTACAGCTGTTATTTAACAATTAAAATGGAACTGAGAGCAGTCGCGTGTCCGATAAGATACAAAAACACAAGATAATAGAATGCAGATCGCAAGGTGGATCTGCATAAGTTAAACGGAGATTATATACAAAATGAAATATATGAACAACGCGGGACTGTGCCACAGAGCATTCCTTTGTGATAAAGAACAATATCACAATTGTGTTTTGAATATACATATGTATAAGGAAGTGTCACTGTCTAAAAATTAGTAGTGAACAAAACCCCAGGACTCTCAACCAGTCAGTTGAAAATCAGAAAAAATAATGAAACAATTGTACGATATTTAGGACGGGCGACAAGGGAAATATGCAAGGATATTTTTATTTCTTCAATATGCAGAATACGTTGTGTGTCGATGACTTCTATAAATACAGAAACAATTGTCCTCAATCGATACATCGCAATATTTGAATCGACGTACGTAATGTCGAATATTCGAACGATCAATAAACGTGCTGGATAATGCACTTCGCATACAACAGGACGTCGGTAGTTGTAACACCAGCAATTGTTGCTTATTTCGGTCCGCAAAGAACTGGTTCAACGTTTGGGATAGTTGTAACAATAATAACAACAATATATATATATATATATATATATAAATATTGAAGAACAAGATCGTAAAGTAGTATATTCGCAAAATCGAAGGTTGACAACCGCTGCCGTACAATATAGTTTCGTAGCAACCTGAATTTGTCGAGAGTCATCTACCGCGACGAACTCACCTGTAATAACGGTCATTACTGACTTTCAATATGGTAATACGACGTCAGGTTTTTGATGAATACGAGTAATCGAAAGATCAGTGTTACTGACGGTCATTGCTATTACTGCGATCATACGAATGTACTAGAGAATAGTCGTCTTAATCGATCAGAAGATGCATCGGACGATGCAACGTTTATGGACTTAGGAGAAGAGATAGAGACAGGACAACGAATGTTTATGCACGTTCATGCTATTTAATTAAAATTCATAGCAGCTTCCACGACGAAGTTCCTTTTTTTTAAGGAAAAAAGAATATTCAATTCGTTTCCACATTGTTATTCTTTCGAACTACTTGGATTTTGTTTGACAGTAGAAGAATGGTTCGATGTTCAATCAAACCAAAGATTTCACACAATTAAAAGTATTCGATTTCAATCCGTGATCGCTATTACGTTACGTATTTATATGACAAACGAATTTTATCAATCGATTAAATTAATCACGTGACGTTTGGTGATTGTTTTCAAGACCGACCGAATACGTGCATACACGTACCAGTGTACATTCTTCGAAAACAAATTGTTCGATTTTGGTGCATACATTTGTACGGAAATACTGTTGGTCCTTGTGTGCACCACACCCTCCCCCCACACCCCGAATTCAACAGATACTTCCCTGATGTAACGAGCTTCCCATCGCACAGAAGTATGGTATAAAATGTTTTGAACATTTCGAAAATTATTGTCGCGAACTGATCGACGCCTGTTCGACAGAAATTGCTGCAAAAACGGACGAAGATCCGCAGTCTAGATTAGAATCCACCTGGAACGGCGAGCCAGAGGTCGCCCATGTTCGTTCGCCGCTGAATTATTAAGGAAACGGACGAGGTGGAGGAACTCGGGTTGAGAGCCGCTGGGAACGTCTTCTGCTGCACGTCAATGCCCGAACTGTCAAGACCGCTTGGCGAGCGTAAAGTGTTCACTGCGATAAAGTTGATTCTGTGCGCGAGATATCGGTTTGGTAGTCGGTGGGATTTCGGCTCGGGATCTCGCGGCATAACGAGAACACCGGGTGCCGCGCGAATTAGTCAGCGTCGGACACTGACTAGCGCGGTACACGCATACCTTTGGATCCTGACGTCGTACCCAAGAGTGCAAATGACTACATGTCAAAGCCAGTAAGCGGCGTACTTTAAGTGAACCTTTGATTTTCTACATCCGGTCGACGGAGCTGGATATATCCCGCGAACGTCGAAACAATGCTGGCGCTTATCAATCGGATCCTGGACTGGTTCAAGTCCCTCTTCTGGAAAGAAGAGATGGAACTCACTCTCGTCGGCTTGCAGTACAGTGGGAAAACTACCTTCGTAAATGTTATTGCGGTACGAAAAATTCTGTTCGTTGTCGCGATCTGATTCACGAGAATTTTCATTCGAAAGATTGCAGAATTGCGGTCTCTCATTACGAGAAAATATGAAACTTTCCCTTGGACGAGAGACACGCACGGCGGTTTGGTTAGGTTTTATATTCCATTCGAAATAACTCGACTGACGTCGTTGTAAACCGTCAATGTACCCGCCCTTAAATCAACCCTTCGCATTAAATAGGATGTTTCTTGCGAGAATTCAAACTGAACGGTTTCCTTTTTCGTTTCAAGGTCAACGCGGAAATCTATTTTATTTAGAAATTTAACAAATGTTAGATATCAGTTATATTTTGAAGCAATCACTTTATTGTTATATTACTTGCAAGAAATCGGTAGAATCGTTACATTTCGTTTGTATGTTTAGTTTAGATGTTATATAGAGACAATCCTATGTATATCTCTACAGGAATGAGATCATAGCAATGAATAATATTTACGTTTTTTTTGCAGTCAGGGCAATTTAGTGAGGACATGATTCCTACTGTTGGGTTCAACATGCGCAAAATAACGAAAGGCAATGTCACTATAAAGGTATGGGACATTGGAGGTCAACCAAGGTTTAGGTCTATGTGGGAACGATACTGTAGAGGTGTGAACGCGATAGTATACATGGTGGATGCAGCCGATCCTGAGAAAATAGAAGCAAGTCGCAACGAGCTACACAATCTGTTGGACAAACCTCAGCTAGCTGGTATTCCAGTGTTGGTTCTCGGCAACAAAAGGGATTTAGCTCATGCTTTAGATGAGAATGGACTCATAGAAAGAATGTATGTAGATATACTTTGATAAAAGATGCTCTATGCGTAAACAATCGAATTGATTACATTGTGTTTCTTGTTGTAGGAACTTAGCTGCTATTCAAGATCGTGAAATCTGTTGCTATAGTATCTCGTGCAAAGAAAAAGACAATATTGATATTACATTGCAGTGGCTTATAGCACATTCTAGAAGTGGTGTTCGCTAATACGTGTAACAAATTTTCTGTTCTTATACATTCTTATCGGAAAACCCAAGATATTGATAGCAGAATTGGGATCAAACATGCGAGGAAGTGTTCGGCAATTTTATTCTGAATTGATCGATTATCGTAGAAAAATGTTCTTTTCGAAATCTAAGCTTTAGCTGTCCTTCGTTCAGGCGTATAAAGAGGAAAAAGATCGTAGAAAATGTCGTGGAAAAAAAGATACCAAGGAAGTTATGCTTAAGCCAAATATGTTCGAGCGAACGATAACGGAACACATACATCCTTGCGAGCACTTTTAGGGATAAGTGAACATACCTTTTTATATTGCGTTTCTAGATGATCAGTTCGAGTAACACTGCTGTTGTTCTAATACATAAAACCATCAAACGAGCAAATAGCATTTAAACGGTTAACGTAGAAACAATGGTAGCTAGTACGAATACAGGCGCAAAATAACATTACTTTATCATATAGTACACATTCTCGGAAATATTTAATTACCATTAATAAGTCACGGCATAGAGATTACGTACATTTGATCGCTATATGTACACGAATATGACGCTAAGTAAACTTGTATAATTAATGGAGAATGATTAACTATATTATACCGATTTATTATGATCCTCGGAAAATATGACAGTTGTGTTATGTATATACACGTATATATATATATATATATAAATATGAGAAGAATAAAATGATGTAATCCATTTTTTAAATGGAGGATCGTCTCTGAAGAAATTTCTACAATCATTGAAGAAAAGAAAAATAAAATATTGTATGTTTTTAAAACGACAATATTTAACAAAAATTTTTATCCATTTGAAACCACAGATCGAATCAGAGTTCGGTAATATTTAATACGATTTACGGTTAACGATTATGTTTTTAATTTAGCTCATGCATGGTTGCAATTAACTACGGTACTCATTTAATCGTCAATTGAATTAATGATTTTAATTAAAGTCAAACGATTAATATTTCTAATTTGTGATTGATCATCGATGATTTAGTATTTGTAATTAAATGAATTTGAAAATTTAAATCGATTGCTATTCGACTCTAACTTCTGATTGGTCGATGTATAGACGTCATTACGCAATCGATTGTATGTTAAATCGAGATTCGATATACGATGTTGTTTGTGTTTGCATATTCCGTATTGTGCATCAGGGGAAGACAAAGTGTATGAGAAAAACGACAATTGTGTTTTAAAAATTAAAATGCCTGCATCAACTGACGATCCTTATGCACATGCGGCCAAGGGTGCATTAAAATTGAAAAATGATCAAGGTATCAGTAAAAAGTATGTAAACGACAGATTTCATTCTTATTTTTAGGTTATGTAGATGTTTTGACAGGTAACTCCGAAAAACTAAGCTCCATGAGAATGTGTCTGACAACATAATAAATGATCAATAGTTTAATTGGTTTTTAAACTAATTGATTATGACTTACGACTGAAATAAAACTATTCGATTAGCGCCAAGTATTCATAATAATTATTACAAACATTTATCTTTTGCGAATTAGGAAAAAGAATAAAGAAGGTAAAAAGAAAAAGTTGGTAGAAGTATCGAAAATCGAAGAAGAAGAAAAACCAAAAGTGACAGAAATCAAAAGAACAAAGGCAGAAATAGCGTTCCAAAAAATGCAAGAGAAAATGGCAAGTAATTGTTTAGTGATAATCTTTAGTTTTCAAAGAATGAGGATTATATCATTGTATAATTATTTCCAGCAAACTGAAAGGATCAAACAGAAAGCCTCTATGACCCACAAACAACGAGTAGAAGAATTTAACAGACATTTGGATAGCTTGACGGAACACTTTGACATACCAAAAGTCAGCTGGACAAAGTAAACTGTTAGTGCACGTTTCAGTTTATTAACATTTTGTTTAAATATACATAATGTATACATAAATAATTACACTATTAAAGTTATTAATATCTGCACTTATATAAAATTGTACTTTATTGCAAATGTTTATAAAAAAATATAAATATCAAATCTTTAATCTTAAAATGGATGGACTACCAAAGTCTTATGGTTATATGTTTGATTTGTATAAACAAATGTAACGCTAAACATTTAAATATAATAAGGCAGATTTCTCGATGTGTTTTTCACATTGTCACATCATAATGCATAAGTAGTATTCTAACGTACATTACACGAGTCTGTTGTATAAAATCTAATATACAAATCTAACAAAGTGTATATACATAAAATGGACGGATATTATATATTAAAAGTGAACAAAGTTATCGACTAAATTCGAGATCTGGTTAATGTTACTACACTAACTGAAATAGTCATTATAATGGACGGATATGAATATTTTGTACCTCCACTACCATAATGGAATATCTTTATGTAATTTTCTGTTACTTTCCAAGGATTGCTACCATCGTCAAAGTACATAGGACATTGGTCGCGTTCTCTTTCGTACTCCTATATTCAAAATTACAATTATAAGTATATACTATCTATATATAATGGATAATAGAGATAAGCATTATAGTTTACCTGCATTTCCAATGCAACTGCAGCACCCTCAGTATAATTACTACTAGTGACATCTTGCTTAAGATCACAGAAGGGTCCAATAGCTTGAGACATGAGCACTTTATTCAAATCAGCTCTTTGATAAACCCAACAGCGGTATTTACTGAACGGATCCAACTCGTCGTAAGTTACCAAATATGATTTCAAATTCTCCTTCCAAAATCCGATGCATTTCATTTTATAATCGGGCAAACCTGTATTTAAAAAATACATGACAGAAAAAATGATTTTTTTCTTTAAAATACAATAATGTAAAACTTACTGTAAATATCTACAGGTCTTCCTAAATGATCTACGGACAAGCAGTAGGTTTCATCAATGGCGATTTCCTTCTGATCAGTATCGCATACAGAAAGATCAGAAATATTTTGCTTGCAATAAATGTTCGGACGAGGTGATAACGTCACACCACCTAAAATTCTAGTTTCGAACAGGATATCTCCTTTTTGATGGAACATATATTTGCCAGCCACAGGACATCGCACCGGTACAGGATCCTTCGCTGAAATTTGATTAGATGATTAACCAAATTTTAGATCATTTGTTTGTCATACTAACCCAGGAATAAATCATATTTCCATGCTTCTTTGTTAGGGAATTGTACCCAGGAACAGACAGTGTGGAAATTGTCCTTGATGACTGCAACACCTCGTCGGTACCTAATAATGTTATGGTGTCGACGTACGAAATCGAAGCAGACATAATCTTTTTGACTGAAAATGAAATTGATTAAATTATTATAGTGTCAGAAGGCGTAGAGTTTATTTGTAATGCAACTCGTACCATCCATCAACGGTTAATCTCGCCATCATCACTCTAGTGTCTCTCGATTCTCGACACACGTAAATTGTGCGTCTGTAACGGCCCTCGTCAGGATACCAAGTTTCAATGATGTGCGTTTCGTTGATGAATATATCTGCATCAATATTAGCTGTATTTATCCAATGTCCGCTCATGTCTTCCGGTAATCTGCATCCCGGTTCCACTACTTCCGCCTTAACAGGTGTTACTCTTAAACGCTCGGGACTTTTCTCAACAGTTTTCAACTTATTACATTCCGCTGTAATAGAAACTCCAATATAAAGATCATCGTCTCGATTCTTTAAGAAACATCTGTACTTTTCATCTTTTCTTGATTCTTTTGTATTTGCAACTGCGAAGAAGTGGTTTTTATCAACAAACCAGTCGCCCAGGCAACTATACTCGACCACTGAAACATTTATAACGTATAAACAATGCGAGATTTTATTATTATTTAGTTTGAACAGTAAATAATATTACCTCCATCAAAAGTATCCTTCATACCAGGACACTTTTTATAAGTTATATTAAATTTCTGATTGGTAATTAAGAACTGTGTGCCTGCAGTTTGACATGATTTAATATGAGCATCTGGATGATTACACTCTCCTCTAAATCTATATCGATTCTGTAAACATAACAGAAAAATTAATTCTTCAGTTTATCATTTGTTTTACATTCTTCGATCAAATACTTGCCTGATATGCAAATTGCCAAACACCTTCCAAAGATGATCTACAGTTCACAGGTACATAATTTTCGGAGAACAATGTTATTAATTGTTGATTGGGTCGTATACCTTTACATACATTTTCTACAGTGGGCTCAATGCCATTGGGCAAATTTACGCAGCTTGCTGAAGCATTAAACAAATTAAATTATATTATTTACAGCTTTTGTTCTTACAATTATGCTAATCAAATCGCATTGCAATTTAATTACATTTTTATTAAACTTAGTACCTTCAAGTTTCTCCAATACATTCACTGTTCTAACAAGCAATTTAACACAGTGGTAGCATTCATCATTTTGAAATACAAACGTATAGTTGACATGATACTCTTCAAGCATACTTATACAATAACCACGATCAGTCATTGTTTCAGCATTGATCTCTGTTAAAGTATTTCTGCCATTTTCCCATGAAAACCATGATCCTCTTATGACAGAAGGAATTTGACAATCCTGAAGAGAGTCTGTGACTGGAAAACAAATGTAGTTGCTGAACAATATTTTAGGTGTAATGAAATATGTAATATTATTAAATAATTTGCTATCGTTTCAGCAAATAATATTTATGCTGAATGAAATTTATTTATTGTAATGAAGTTCAATTTTATTTCCAATGAAATTCAATTTAAATTGTAACATGTTGTAAACAATCGAGATTAATTTTGAAAATCATTAAAAGCTTACCTTGCAACAAGAAATAAAAGACGAATAAAAGTGCGTGCCACAATTTTGTCATTTTGTCATTAAGTATGAAATAATTTGGACGATCAAAATATTCTATTAATTACAAACAATCATCTAACGTGTTTAATAACTTTTTCCCCAACGCCCATCCCACTTGTGAATCATGCTCGTGCTGCCATCTGAATATCGATGTGTTGCGTGCATTTGTGATACATACTTTGAATTATCCATACTCTACTGTACATACTAATTAAAGTAAGTTTAATTCTTTCATGTAGGAATATTAATTAGCAAGAAACTCTCGCTGATAAATCAAACTGATTTCAAAGTAAAATTATTATTATATTCGTAGAAGATATATATATATAAAATCTTTTTTCAATTAGAGTAAAAATGATGATGTCTCATACAAGTGGAATTTGAAATTTAAGTAGAACGAAAAATACGTATTTCGTGTTAGAATTTTGAATTAAATGTAATCGTAGAAATTGATGGTTATATATTAATAATATGTAAAATATTTTTTTGCAATGCTTATGTTTATTTGAAAAAAGAGTTTCAATTTAATTGCGTGAAAAACGTCACGTTGGTGAAGCAATTCCATCGATGATTGTAATAGTAAATTTAAGTATAAACATTCTGTATTTTTCGATGCAAGTATTTATAAACAGTAGATAGGATTCTGTGTAAACACGTGTTTGAAAGAAAAGAAGGAAAGATATCTCCATTAATTACGCTCCTGAAGTTAAAATGACATGAATTAGAAATACATGTGTAGTTGTAGGTTGTAGTCATATCACATAGAGTTATGTATGCACAACTAAACTTCTAACCACAAATTTTGGTGAACAGGTTCTACATAAAATTTTTCTCCTTTTAAGTTATGATCTGTTATGTAGTCCATAAATATCATTAAAAAGATGTCATTAAAAAATAGTTCTCAGTTGTGTAATTTAATTTCGTGTTATTAATCTAACATAATTTATTTTTTATGAGAACTTGTTATATACTGTGTCAAGAATAATGGCAAAAACAGAAGTAACTGAAAATCCAGGAACCAGTTGGGAACCAGTACGTTTGACACACATTAAACCATCCTTCAACAGTCAAGAATCAGCTCTAGCAGCTCGTCAGGATCTATGGCACAAATTTATTCTTTATGGTATAGGAAAATATAAACCGACAGAAGTTCTGAAAAAGATCATTACTGCTTGCGATCCTGAGATTATACTACCTGTTATGTACAAAGAAGAGGGTCCAAACAAAAGTCATTTCTTGGCAAAATGTAACTCCAATGCTATAGAACAACTTGTGAAACAGGGTCTATGCGTGAGTTTACAGAATGGACAAGAATTACATATTGATATAGTATTAGGATTCACAGATTCCCAAGAATTATCACTGAATCCTAACAGGATTATTACTCAAGCATTGTATTACAGATATGAGCCTACAAAAAAAGTATTGAATCTTGATGACTTTGAGAATGAGAAATCATTGGGTTCTATATTTTGCCCTATATCTTTACCCAAAGTATTACAGTTTGTTTTAAGATGCAGTAGAATGGGAATCTTGAACACAAACCGTGATTCAAGACTACCTATTCGAGAACTGAGCTTAAAATATAATAAAATCACAGCCATCATCTTGTTTGAAAAATTTTTCAATTATCACTTGACTAAATTAGATCTGAGATACAATTATATTGACGATGTGGACTATCTACGTTACTTCAGTGAATTTAAGATAAGTGAGCTCTGGCTGGATGGAAATCCACTGTGCACAAAGTATAGCAAATGCCAAGATTATGTACAAGCTGTGAAAAATGTTTTTCCCCATCTGCAGAAGTTGGATGGAATAGTCATAGATATAGAGCAGAAGTTCATTCCTCATGTACAGAGCAATTTTCTGAGAGATGGATCAAAAACTTGCCTGATTAAACAATTTGTGAAGCATTATTTCACGTTGTACGATCAGGATGATAGACATGTGATGAATGGATTATATGACAGGGATGCGCTTTACTCTATGACACTTGGGCCACTGACAAACTATGTCCATAAACAAGTAACTAAAACGTTTGTTACGAACAGGAATTTATTGAAGTTTGTTGATTATGCAAAGTGTCAAGAATTTTTATTGCGTGGCCCAGAAAAGATCATTTCTGCTCTGAGAAGTCAACCACCCACGATACACAACTTTAAATCATTTCATATAGATTTTTTGTATGAAGAAGACAATCATCTAGCAATCTCTGTCCAAGGCATGTTCTCTTTCAGAGAAATTGTATGTCCACCAATGTTCTTCAACAAGACTTTCATTATCGTGCAAAAGGAAGACAATGAATACTGTATTACTAATGATCAATACTATCTTGATGGATCACCTGCTAATAGTAATTTAGCAATAGGAAGCAATGAGATGAAATTTGACTTGAAAACAGCACCCAAATTTGATCCAGTAGTCTTCAGTGTCTCTGAGAAGGAACAATTGTTAACATTTCTGCATGAATTGACTACAATGAACATGAAATTTTGCCACCAATACCTAGAGGAAACTAATTGGGACATAAGGACTGCTATTACAACATTTATGAATATGTACACTGTCAATAATGTACCACCGGAAGCTTTTATGTGATTCGCCAGTATTTTATATAGATAATGTCTATTATTTATACGTACATTATAGCATAAGAAAAAAGTCTTGTAATTGTAGGTACAGATCCGTACGTTTTTATAACATGTAGCATGATATTTGTTACCGTTTTTAATGTCTTCCGCGAGACAATGTACCTACAATTCTTCAAAGAAAATAAAATAAGTACAATGACACCATTTTATTAAAAATTATTAGCTTTATTTTATACAATATAAAAATTACAATTTTCATGATACTAACAACCTTGCTGTGTATTCAACAGAGCAATGGTTTTATTTATATATGGTGTAGTATTCACATTTGAATTCACTCCTAATTCAAACACTTTCTGCATTAATGGTAGAGCGTGTTCTGAAATAAAATACGATTAATTAAAAGATGATGTGCATCAAATGAAACCAAAATTCAATTGCAAAAAACGAAAGCTTACCTTGCATACAGAGCACAATGTCTGGCAACTTTTCCAGAGCTGACATTAACACATCAGCTCTAGGACTGTCCAAACATCTCTGGAAGGCGGATAATATGTTTGCATTTGTTGTTGGACGATATTTCAGTGCTCTTGCCAGTAAAGTGTGAGCAAGAGTCCTTATGTTACCCTGAGGAGACACCAGTAATTCAGTTATATTATCCGTTATCGGTTCCAGAACTGAAGGTTTTCGAGAAGATAAATGCTCTATTTCCTGAAGAGCATTGAACACGTCTAGAACGAGAAAACATGCATTTTTTCCAATTAATTTTTTCATAGAAGTTCAGATTGACACTCCACAGTATAAAAAGACGGTATACCATCTCCATGCAGCTTGCTCAGAGTAGTCAGCAACGAGGACCAATGCTGGGGAATAATAGTTTCTGCTGGTGGTGGTGTAGGAGGTACAGTGATTAAAACTTCCTCGAGATCTTCTCCTTCTCTTGGCACTGGGATGCCTGATACAAGTGTACGAAGTGTAACTAGATTTGGATAGTGTACCTGTAATTCACTACATGCAAGTGTAAGCTGACGTCTGAAATTTGGTATGAGAAGCCGAAGGCACAGATTACTTACTGAAGAGGCTGAGCATGCTTCTGCAAGTACTTCAATGCTCTTTGAGGATCGTAAGAGATGTATGACTGCAGTAATGTGATGAATCTGTTCAAGAGTGGTATGATCTCTTTTATGGGTCCATAATTCTGTGAATGGAATAAATCAATAGTATTTGTATCGCATTCTACTAAATTCAAGTCGGTACAGATGTTCTAAAATACCTGGAAGCACTGAAAGTAATTCTCTAACGTGTCTTCTAAAGCAGCCCGATGTTCTTCCCTAAACAAATGCGGCTGCAATAATTCCAGCAGGCCCATTATTTGTGTGAAAAGATTCAAATGATGACCGGATCTGAATTGACCGAAATCTAAGTAACATCTGCCCATTAAAGATGATGCTAACATTGGAAGCTGCCGCAACACTAGAATCGGATGAACGGCAGCCATTTTTCTAGCACACATCTCGAACTCCTGGGACCTGGAGTTCCAAGATTTTTGTCTTGGTGTTGCTGCTAAGGCTGTTACCAAAGAATGGCTCATGCAGTCCAACACAGAACCCGTCCAAGCAGTGATTTTTGCGCCCTCAACGAACTTTTTCGTTTGGAAGGTATCCAAGTAACAGATCACTTTTGGTATCTTCATATACATGTGTAACAAGAATTGATGTGCCATGTCAGACTCCACGCTGAAAAATTATAATATAGAATTGCTTATAATGTATAAAATAGAAATAGAACTAATAGATAAAATGAATCACATACTCTGGATCATTCATCATACTATCAGCCAAATATGTCACGACACTGGATACCAAATGGTCATCAGTTGAGATACAGTGCAACAATAAGTCCAGACGAGAATCCATCCTAGCTAATGCAGTGGTTCTACTGTGGCAATTACAAATAATAACAGCTTCTGCAACTATGTACGCTACGAGCGTCAACAACTGTTTCTCGTGCAGCAACAAAATATCTTCAGGGACATAGTGCTTCGGCGTAAACTTATCTCTTCCTTGCCACAGCTTCGGATTGCATGTTAAAGCCCATAGAAAATCTAACACAGCCGTTGGATCGTACCTACAATTTTTACAGTTTATTTGATATTATTTTACAATTATTTGAATTAGTAATTAACAACTTACCCATCGTCACATTTATCTAATAAATGTCCAACACATTTGTGCAAGGTAGCCCAGCTTGCTCTGTGTGTAAGTAAAGTCAACAAATAGGGCCTAAAGGAATGCGAGCTAATTATATTATTGTCAACTTTCATTTGCATCTTCGTCTTTCCGAAAAGAAGCTTCATTTGCAGATTGGGACATGTGCCAATCAATTCTGGTTCCACAGAAGCCAACCAATCAATCAATAATCCTGTTCTTGGCTTTCTAACACCCTCATTGCTATCATTCACCAACAACCTCGCCATAGCTTCAAAAAGAACATCAGTCTGTTGTTGTTTAAAACAAATGTCCAACAATTTACGTCCCACAGCTTCCAGGTTCACGGAATCCGTTGTCTCTAAAATGGATCCAAGGTCACGGGTCTGCATCAGTATAGTTAGCTCCATGCTCTTTGGTGTCTTGGTCAATTGTACATTAGCAAAGTCTCTTAGAATAGAAAGAACTGGCGCTTTCACGTCTCCTATCAGTTGTATCAAGTTCAAACACATGTTGCGAGCAAGTTCTACGACCTGTTTGGATGTAGAAGATTTTTTCAAGGGAAGCAATATGATCCTCATTAAAGTGCACGAGTATTGCGGCATGTGAACGAGTGAGGCCAAGAACTGTTTCACTTGCATCGAGCTTAGAACGCTGCATATGTGTTGTATAGCTAGCACAACTGCGCCGCTTTCTTTAGCAGACTTCTGCAGGTCCTTTGCCAAAGTTTTATGCAAACGACGATATGCGTCCACCTTCTGGCTCATTGATATATTCTCTATGAACAATCTGTTGATCAAATGGGGAACGTCTGTCTTAACAGAACACTGAATGACAGATTGTTTCTGGACCATAGCGCTAGGAGGCAAGGGTTCCTGCAATTGTCCTATAGTCACCGGATTCTCGTCAGGCAATTGAGGCTCCATTAATTGCAGAACTTGTACAAACACCAGTCCACCAGTGGCTCCTCTCCTATGTTGGACTTCTACTAACTGTGCCATGTACGTTTTGTCAAGCACAGCTTCCCCAACTGAATCGGGATCAATTTGCACCCCTGCGTCCAGGGTGTGAAGCAGCTTGCTCATTGAAGGCACAGGAATTCCGAAACTCTGAATAAACAGAACCAGCTGCTGAGGCTCTAAATCTTTCAAAGCAGCGTCCACGAGGCGTGGAACATTGCTCCTGATCATTCTCAACTTCAACCAATCTGGTATCAGCAAAGCTTCTTCGCTAGTATCAACCAAGAAAGCTTTTGGGGGCTCTGCATTCAATGGGAACCAAGTTTCAAGGAGAACATTAAATAAAACGTCATCGTCGAATGAATCATAGGTCAACAGAATGATCATGGCATGCACAACGAGAATGTGCATAGTACATTCTTGTCCTGTGCTCCATTGTACTAGAATCTGATCCTGACTCTCTGACCACGTATACTCTTCTCTTCTAGGAGACCGAGCTTTCTCTAAATAATTACAGAAGATCGCCATGAAGGCGTGCAGAGTCTGCTTAGACTGCGGATTGTCGCATTCTGGTTGAGGCAAAATGGCTGCTATAATTGTACTTCTCTCAACTACCAGCTGAGATATCTCGTTAGCAAGATCTATTAATTCTGGTAGCTCGTCGTCAGTGGTATGGGCTGCGAGGTACGAGATGTATGCGTGAACAAGATCTGGATTGTTTTCTACTTGACAAGCCCCACGGAGGGCCGTGGAGACCAAGGTTCGCACTGATAAGAAGTGCGGAATTGATGGTAATTTGCGAACAAGCCAAATCTCTCTGAAAATAGAGATCGAGTTAGCAGCTGCAAGAAGATTTTATGGAAGATATATATTTAATCATAAAAAGGCACACAAAGAGATCACAGTGTGCCGCTGCAAGATTAATAAATTACTTCTCATTTTCTCCATCGATGTCCATGGGTTCATCTTCAGTAGGTATAGATCCTAAAACCATTTTTAAACCAGTGATTGCTTGGAGCCGGCTATTAGTCTGCTGGCTGCTCAGCCTTCTTAAAAAGTATTCTAGCACTTCATAAGCGTGTTGCCGGTCTTGATCAGGATCGGTCAACAACATCTGGAGATGAGCCAACAATTGTTGTTGCCTCGGTTGATTCTCCACTGCTTGGGTGCTAGTAGACAACAAAAACTCACAAAGGCATTGTACGGGCAATTGACTAAGGGAACCTTCGCTACTTTGTACAAGATCTGCCAACCAAGGCATGCTCTGGGAGGAACTTTGCTGTTGTCTTTGAATTATGTCCAACAAGAAATCTGGTTTCCGGGACCGGCAAAGTAAATGTCCTAATCTATGGGACACGTTCAACGACTGTATTTGTTCTAATACTGCTGGAGGCGGTCTCCTTGCGATACCGGTCGGTTCCATGGTGATTAACTGCGACAATAGCAAACTATTTTGCTCCGATATTTGTATCTTCGTCGAGGCAGCTGCCAAGTGAGATTCATATTCGAGGATCTCTTGCTTCTCGATTGCTTCCACTTGTAATTCTTTGGAACGCTCTTGCTCTATTACTTCTGGTAAAGCCATTGTTGGCGGAGGATACGAGAAATGGCTATAAAATATATTAACATTTTAGTGTCTTTTAATCTCTACACATTTATCTAATAGGAGAATTATGAACTCACTTAGTGATACACATTTCCATGAGAGTTCTTAAAATGGGGTACCGCTTCCATGCAATAGCGCCAATAGTAGATGGATTGTGAGCAGCCAGTACCAATAACATTATCCATCCTTTCCAGTACAAATTCGATATCGCCAGTGTTGGTGGCACGTAACTGCAAAAAATGACACAAGTAAATGATAAGTTGATATGTATACATATTATATTAGACTTGAGAATATTTAAAGTACTTCGAGGGTATGTTTATGGTTCCAGGAGGCTGATAAATACAAAGATTGAAAATAAGTTCAATTATATCCAGTTTATCAGCTTGCAAAGTTGGAAAACTCTCAGACGAATTAGCTGCTGCTCTTCGTATCAGTTGATCCACCAAATCCAGTGTTTCAGAATGAGTAATACCATTATCCTAAAATATGAAACATCTACAATTTCTGTATTTATAGAAAAATAAGATATCAACATCCTAACACCTACTTTCGAATTGCCAATTATTAATAATCTCAATAATGTATTTTGTAACAGCGGTACATCAGAAATCAGTCGCAAATAAAACACTCTATCCGACTCGGGAGGCCAATTGTCCAATTTGTAGTATTGTTCTGGTGATTCAAGCATTAAAATTTTATGCAAAGCGTGAAGAAGCTCGTTCCTACCGATAGCATACATTTGCGGCGCCGGATTTTGCAACCACATTACAGCTTCGAATTGAATCGTCGCTACCATGTTTTGAAATTGATGTAACAAAGCTATATCCTTCTTATCGCCCCTTTGTGCAAGTGCTGCAGCTTCTTTCACTTGTGGACTGATAGCTAGCAACATACACAAGCATAATAGATCCGCGATGGAGATGAAAACTCGTTCCTTGAACTCGAAGTTGAGCAACTGCTGTGCTATGTCCTGTCTCTCGGCCATCAGTGTGCGGGCGAAAGTAATTAAATTAATATCGTGTCTACAGACGCGCACTATTTCTCTGAGCAAAGCACGCAGAGGCCTCAAATAATCTTCTCGATTCATCAATAAATCTTGAAATATTTCTGCAAGCAGTTTAGCCGATTGTTCGGGCAATGTTTGGAACATTACACCCAACATTGGCATATTATTTGGATTTCGTGCGTTGGATAATTCGTTATAGATAGTATGTTTCAAAATAGTTGCCAAATTCTCCGGATGTAAACCAATTAACTCCTTCACGCCGTTCAAGTACAAATTAATTACAGCTTTGGTTTTCAATCTCATTTTGACTAATTGACTTATAACTTCCACGTCCCTCTGAGTGTGAGAAGTGCAATTATAACAAATGTAGCTTAGCAATTCTTGAGCAGGCCTCATCAGTTTAGGATTATGTAGCCACATCTCCAATCTTGGAACAGCTATATTTCGAATTTCTACAAATCCACAAGCTGAAGACAGTAGCCTCAAGAAGTTTTTAGTAATTGATTCTGGTTGTCTTCTATTCAACTGTTCCTTTATAGCTTCGAGTACAATGACTTCTATATTTTCTATACAAAGAGTGTATCTAGGAGTCACAGGAAAATCTATTTTCTCCTTGTCGCCAGAAAATTGCGCTGACGAGGAATTTGGATCTTCGTCGTCTATTGTAGAAGGACTGTGACAATCGCGCGGTGTTAAGACAGACAGTTCCGGTTGTAAAACACTTTTTGGTGGATGTCGCGTGTTAAATCCTGTTAAAATATTATCTACAAAACCCTTGCATTCTTCGTGATCGATCCACACTCTCTCCCCAAGAGCATCCTCAATATACAGCTGTAAAAAAGAAACAAGAATTACATGAAATTTGATTATTAGATTTTTTAAGAAATGCCCTGTACTATAAAATATGTGAACAACCTTAACGAAAATTTCTGGCCAATTTTTCTTATCATGAAATCCCTTCATTAACAAGTTCGCAGCAAGTACAGGAACCAATGGGTTTCCTTTGGATTTATAATTGTGTGCTTGGTCTCGTTTCAGTAAAGATGATAGCGCGTGTAATATACAATCGTGTGAAAAAATAGATGCGCGAATTTTTGCTAGATACAATAATCCCATGTAGATCAATGTGTCTGGTTTCCATTTCTGGTTTTTAAGAGCTTTTATGGCACCACAAATGATACCTATAACTTTGTCACCTTCATCATTGTCATTAGCTTCTAAGACCATTGGAACAAAATCTGCAGGATCACTGTCTATTGCTACCAGTTCCCAAGCTTCCGCACTTGAGAATGGTGGTCTCGGATGGGAAGCATGAGTTGCTAGCTTCTGTTTCTTTGGTGGAATGTATTGAAATGATTGAAGTGATCCTGATGGTGCTTCTTTCTTCCTATCATTACCTATAATGTGCAAATAATACATAGGTGTAATGAACGTCCTATTTAATTTTTACTGACAAGATTATTGTATTAAATGGTTTATTATTACCAGAAGTAGAAGAACTAGTGCTTGGTTTAGAGTGAATAACCCCTGGTCTTTTAGTGTCCGAGGTTTCATTGCGAGATCCTTTAGATCCAAGAGCAAATAAATCCGAAGGATGTTGAGCAATTTTACTCTTTGCACCCCTACCAATTCCTGCTTTGCCACGATCCATTATATCTTTGTTCTGTCCTAAATTGAAGAATAAGAAATAATTAATAATAGGATTATCGAGTACAAACAGTATCTGTTCCATATTGGTTTGTGAAAATAACAATACTGTATTCATTCTAATTTCGTGAAATTTTTATTACAATTCTTACTCAAACAAATGAATTAATATATAAATAATTCTCTATAAATGTATCTTTATAATTTCAATGAATGTGAAATAAAAGAGTCTAGAACCAGTGATTCTGATTCGGTAGTTTTAGTGTTAATAATTAAAACTAGTATTGTTTTTGTTCAAATTATGTACGCAGTGGTTAAACATACGCAAAATAATGAAATATCGTAAACACCGTTAGTAAGATTATAGAACTAAAAATGTTTTGTGTTACATTCTAACCTTATCAACATTTAAAAAGTCCATTTCCGGGAAGCGATCTTCTGAAATATATTTCTGACATCGTACATTGTTCGTGACATCAGTTCTATGAATGACTTAATACGACTGGCAATGAAGATGTGAGTAATTTCGTATGTCAACAAATTATAGATTTATAAACAGAAGGTTTTGTTCAGCATTGGTAGCAGACAGACACCGCTCTCTACCGCTTTCTTAGAGATTCGAGATTTGACGGAATGAATTTTAAGCGTCCACGCCATGTAGCGGCAAAACACTGAAACTATTAGCACAATGTGTAAGTCAAGATCAATTGTTGGTAATTTTGTCTACCAGTTTCAGCATTTTGTCACCACGTATAATGGCGTTAAACTCAAATTTTTTATAGGTTCCGCATAGCGGTGTCTTCTAGGCTAAAATATTAAATTGATATTTTCCCTATTATATATCATGAAAAAATTTTATATTTCAATCAGGTATCCTCTTTTTATTATGTTACATAATGCTTATCAAATCAATATGAATTTCACACTCGAATTTTGGTACATTATTCAATTTGCTGTACCAGATAGTCAATATTCAAACACATTCATAAATTCATGATTGTAAAATATGATACACCATTTAAAACAGACGTTTCGCTAAAATTTTTATAAAACTCGTCGACCATTTCAATTTTTATTTTTTATTATCGTCCGACGCCATTTGGGATGCGAGATTAGCAAACTTTGCCATGTAATCAACGCTGTTTTCGCCCATGAGACATTGCATCTGCGAGACAACCTGAAAGATTAATATGTTAATATATATTAATGAATAATTTCGATAAACAAGTTTTTAATGTTTACATCTGTCGATGGACGAGCGTCTTCGACGTGATCGCCACTTTGACTTCTCTGCGAAATCTTCATAGGAGATTCAAGCTGACCCAAGAAGCTGCTTAATGAGAAATCTGCCACCTATAATTTCCATGATTATTATAGTAGAATAAATCGATCGTTATCATTTACTAAAATGCTAGGAAATTACTTCGCTGTTCAACCACTGATGCTCTCCCTCTTTAAGGATTTGCGTAGCACTAGTTATGATCGAATTCGTTGGTTTCGAATCCCTCGCCACTTCTAACTCATCCAAAAAGTTTTTCTCTAGCGTTACACTTATATGTATGGACGATTTATCATTTGGTTGCTCATTATTACTTGGAGTTGAATCATCTATATTACTTGTTTCGTGAGAATTAGTAGTAATTTCTTCCGATGGGTTACTCGGTACAGATATTATTGGTAGCATCCTTTGCACAACAAGACTCTTTTGTCTCACAGTTCTTCCTCTTTTACAAAAGCGCGTTTTGAATTTCTATATTTCATAACATAAAATAATATATTACGCTAAGAAATAAATCCCTGAATAGAGAAAGATACCGAGTAGCAATTACAGCCGCTTACATCTAATTGTGTTTTAAACGCGTCAGGTGTACCAATTTTATGATAAGTCTGTGGAATCAATGGTCTTCGGAAGGTCGACTCTTTCGTTGAAAGCATACGAGATGAAATTACGGTTTCATTACTTCCAGAAGTATTATCATACACCTAAAAATGAATTACGATTAGTCAGTGTAGATGAGCAGAATTATCAAGTATATAACTTTAAACTGGGGGGGGGGGGGGGTTTNATGCTTTGCTATTGACAATAACTTTTGCAAAGTCAGACACAAATTTTCATCTTGCAGAGCACAAGCTGTAGGCTCTCCAGTGTGTTCTCGCTGATGCCAATCCCACCAATATTCCAAAGTAATTTTTGACTCACGACCAAACTGAAAAATTAGAAATACCGTGTTTTTCGTAAACCCCCTACTACTTCGGTACTTAGATGTATTTATTATTCATATTTTTCCAAAGGACATAGTCCAAGATAAAATGTTTTGTACCATTAGAAAGAGGTCTCCTACTGTGATAGTGTTTGCCTCTTCAACATTCCATCCCTTTCGAATCCTTTCAATTGTTTCCCTTCCTGGGAATCTATTTGGCTCAGTTTGTTGTTCTACAGTCGACTTTTCTGCAACATTAATTAGCGAGGTTTTCTCTGAAACGTTGCTACCGGATTCTATTGCATCCATATCACTATTGTTATCTGGCAGCATGCAATTGTCTTCAGATTGATTGACAGATTTTTTATCCATTTTGTTCTTCTTGATTCCCTTCTTTCCAACACCTTTCAAATATTGCACTGAACCTAGCAAGTCCATCCTGGAACTTTTCAATCCCAGGCGTTTTTCATAAGAATTTAAGCTAACACTGTTACTGGTGAGATATTCACCAAGATTTACCATTGGTAAAGTAATCTTACAACCCTCTGTTGGTGCCACTCGCAACAATCTGGTATCTTTCATTTCATTTGTGATAGTGTTCCCTATGTTAGAGGACTATAATATATGTATAGGATTTACAATAACAAAATCTAAGTGTTGATAGAATAATTTCAAAGGATACTGTATTGTATTTGGCAGGCCTCCATCTTTGCTGTAAAAATATTAATAAACTGGACAACCGTCTCTGTATAGGTAACAAAGTTCTTACTCTTGGGTTCATGGATGATGCTTGCACCTGCCACCATGCCATATTATTACGAGGCCTTAATTCGATTGTTATTCGAGGTGGCAATTTAATTTCTTCTTGCCAATCTACAACAATTGCAACAACTATTATAAATGTATCATTAATTAAAAAAATATTCTATGTTATTGCAATTGTACCCTCTAACTGGTTCAGTTTTCTTAATGCCCTACATATAGGAGTCTTTACTCTCATAGTTTTTCCCCTAAGCCTAACTTGTGTTGAGCCCCAATAAACTAGTTCATTTAATTTCAAATGTACTTTTTCATGTATCCTAGGCAATTTTCTTCTAAGTTCGCCATAATTAATTAGACCATATAACTCCTGGGAAGTTTTCTTTACATCTACAAATAAAAAATACCATTTTTTTATTAGTTGATAAGATTACAAATGTAGTCGAAACGATTACCTTCTGCAAATTTCAAGTGTTTTGAAATTTTTAACCATGTTCTATAGTAAAAGTGCCTAATTTGTTCTTTGTTTTTTATCATAACATCTGGTAGCCCTTTCTTTTTCCCCTGACACAAGAAGTAACTTTGAAGTGCATCAAAGTCTTTTCCATATTCGTTTAAAGCTTTAAAAAATGTGTTCTTGTCCTCCATAGACCATAATTCGCAAGATCTTTTTAAAGATCTCACCTTGACTTCTGCATTAGGTTCCTCATCCTTGGTATCTAAAAATAATTGTATTTAAAGATCTATAAATTCTTTCTAACTTCCTTATTTCAATACATACTTATGTTCCATTGTAACGANCCCATAACTATGCTTTGCTATTGACAATAACTTTTGCAAAGTCAGACACAAATTTTCATCTTGCAGAGCACAAGCTGTAGGCTCTCCAGTGTGTTCTCGCTGATGCCAATCCCACCAATATTCCAAAGTAATTTTTGACTCACGACCAAACTGAAAAATTAGAAATACCGTGTTTTTCGTAAACCCCCTACTACTTCGGTACTTAGATGTATTTATTATTCATATTTTTCCAAAGGACATAGTCCAAGATAAAATGTTTTGTACCATTAGAAAGAGGTCTCCTACTGTGATAGTGTTTGCCTCTTCAACATTCCATCCCTTTCGAATCCTTTCAATTGTTTCCCTTCCTGGGAATCTATTTGGCTCAGTTTGTTGTTCTACAGTCGACTTTTCTGCAACATTAATTAGCGAGGTTTTCTCTGAAACGTTGCTACCGGATTCTATTGCATCCATATCACTATTGTTATCTGGCAGCATGCAATTGTCTTCAGATTGATTGACAGATTTTTTATCCATTTTGTTCTTCTTGATTCCCTTCTTTCCAACACCTTTCAAATATTGCACTGAACCTAGCAAGTCCATCCTGGAACTTTTCAATCCCAGGCGTTTTTCATAAGAATTTAAGCTAACACTGTTACTGGTGAGATATTCACCAAGATTTACCATTGGTAAAGTAATCTTACAACCCTCTGTTGGTGCCACTCGCAACAATCTGGTATCTTTCATTTCATTTGTGATAGTGTTCCCTATGTTAGAGGACTATAATATATGTATAGGATTTACAATAACAAAATCTAAGTGTTGATAGAATAATTTCAAAGGATACTGTATTGTATTTGGCAGGCCTCCATCTTTGCTGTAAAAATATTAATAAACTGGACAACCGTCTCTGTATAGGTAACAAAGTTCTTACTCTTGGGTTCATGGATGATGCTTGCACCTGCCACCATGCCATATTATTACGAGGCCTTAATTCGATTGTTATTCGAGGTGGCAATTTAATTTCTTCTTGCCAATCTACAACAATTGCAACAACTATTATAAATGTATCATTAATTAAAAAAATATTCTATGTTATTGCAATTGTACCCTCTAACTGGTTCAGTTTTCTTAATGCCCTACATATAGGAGTCTTTACTCTCATAGTTTTTCCCCTAAGCCTAACTTGTGTTGAGCCCCAATAAACTAGTTCATTTAATTTCAAATGTACTTTTTCATGTATCCTAGGCAATTTTCTTCTAAGTTCGCCATAATTAATTAGACCATATAACTCCTGGGAAGTTTTCTTTACATCTACAAATAAAAAATACCATTTTTTTATTAGTTGATAAGATTACAAATGTAGTCGAAACGATTACCTTCTGCAAATTTCAAGTGTTTTGAAATTTTTAACCATGTTCTATAGTAAAAGTGCCTAATTTGTTCTTTGTTTTTTATCATAACATCTGGTAGCCCTTTCTTTTTCCCCTGACACAAGAAGTAACTTTGAAGTGCATCAAAGTCTTTTCCATATTCGTTTAAAGCTTTAAAAAATGTGTTCTTGTCCTCCATAGACCATAATTCGCAAGATCTTTTTAAAGATCTCACCTTGACTTCTGCATTAGGTTCCTCATCCTTGGTATCTAAAAATAATTGTATTTAAAGATCTATAAATTCTTTCTAACTTCCTTATTTCAATACATACTTATGTTCCATTGTAACGAATACTGAAATTTAAATAAGTATGCTTCTATAGTCTGTTATCTTATTCAAAATACATTCAAATTCATTTCATTATATTCTGCAAACTATACTTTTGACTTGACTGAATCAAGTAGAGAGAAATTGGTGTCATGCGAAGAGAAGAGAACAAATATTCAATTAAAGAAAGTATAAACCTTTTTTCTCAGAATTTGTGTCAGCAACATCTAGCTTCATCTTTTTAGTACCCCTGACAACACGAACTTGAGTGTTCTTGGAATCTGTAGCCACCTTTGTATCAGTGCAATTTTGTGTAGACTGTGATGTTGCACTTTCTTCGTTCTTGGCCACAGTGCTAGTACCTGCGCCCTCGGACTCGTCGTTTTTGTTTTTCGTATTGCTCTCCATATCGAAATTTTCCACAAGAACATGGATTGGCAATCCCACAAACTCGAACTCTCATGTGTTTTGAGTCTTGAAACTTATCAGAAAGGTGAGCACGCTGATCGACAATATCCACGCTCGACGACGGAAAACACGTTTATCGGGTATCACAATATCCATATCATTATTTTATAACGAATCCGTGTTGTAAAACAGTGCTTCTTGAAGCGTGCAGTTAAATCAATCGTCGAATCTGTTGTGAAACAAATTCAGCATTTACTGCTGCTGTGCGTCAAAACATAGTTCCCAATAGTTCCGTTACCACGCGCGAACGCGAATCTCTTCCGAGTCCGCATTTGTTGACGATTTTCAGAAATAATTATCTCTACGGAAACGGGCGTCCGACGGACTCGGAAAATCACGTAATTGGAACGATATAATGATGAATTTTCATACAGATACAATCGGTATTCACCTCGCACTATACACTCTTACGAACTGCGTTTTCGAGTTTCGAGTCTGTTTCGAAGCAGATTGGATCTTCGGTACGTACAAAATCCTTAAATGGAAACATTGTTAGTCCTATTATTATGAATAATAGTATCGTCAAGTCACTGACTCAATTGTGACGGACGTGATAAGGCTTGATTGGTCGCAGTGTCTTAATAATGATAAATATTTTGCGTATTGCTGTTAAATAGTAGACTCTTGGCAAGAAAGCACCAAAATCGGAAAACTGATTGATGACCAAGCTGTGTCGAAATTCGGTTCAAAGTTCGAATGTAGGTAAACTGCTTATATATGAAGTTTCGAATAACAAATCACAGATAGGTTTGTTCGTCGACCGAATGCGAGAATTTTGATTGTTAAAGAAAATGTAATATACACTTTGCATTCGTATAAGTAGACCATTTTTGAAACGTTGTGATAAAAACATTGTTTCAGTATTTTTATTTATTTATTATTTAAATATTATCGTACCTCGATTACTCGTAGAAGGTTATTATTATCAGCCTATACTAATAAACTGATAATGTTCAAGTAACGCCCAAGTTAAGCTGTTCTTAGTCGCTTTAAGATATAACTGTTGAGTTATTAGTTAAAATTAATGTTAATTTATTTAGTAAAATTTGCTACAAAATATTACGAACACTAACTCGATTAATCGAGTTATCTTGTGTTATGGTAAATCAAGTTAGCTTCGAATTTTAAATTGTAGTATCATGCTTGTGTACGATTTTCTTTAACAGAGATACGATTTTATTTAAAAATAAAAACATCATTTCTGAGAATTCAAATTTTTAATCTTTGTCAGAGGATATAAAAAACTTCGCGTTCCGAAGAACTGATGAAAAATACCGATTGAAGAAGCAATGTGTTTTTGAACTACGACGTTAAAGAAAAATTCGATTTTATAAGTTATAAGTAGACTCCACGGGTTTTATTTATGCGTGTATAATTAATACAGATAATTTTAATTTTTATTTTAATTTTGCATAAAGATCCTCAGTCTTGTATTAAGTTTCATGCTTTTCTTAATCGATGCCAAAGTAATGATAATGTCTGACAAATAAATCGGGTGATTTTGTATACAATACGAAAATTTGCGAAATGAAAAGAAAGAAATGATTTTCGCGCTACGCTGGCGCTGACAATGCAGCCGTGACAAGTGCAACGCCAGACCAATAGGAGGGCGGGTAGGTTGTTACACGCGACCAATTGCAAATTTCCACTCATTTGCACGGCAGAAAGTTGCACCAATGTTGGTTTCCAATCTAAATTAATTATTTTCCGGAACGTTGTTCGTGGGCAGTGGCCTTGATAGGAAAACCCAACTCTGTTCCGAGCAGTGTACTTAATTAATAAATCGATCGATCCGCTTGAAAAAAACCGATCCCCCGGCCATTGACCGACGTGTCAGCCTTCATGGAGCCAGCGACGACGGTGTGGAAGTTAGTGATGGGACTGTTCTAATACGGTGGTACGGTCGCGCGTGTTATGCACTCGTTAAATTGTATCGCCACCCCGGTTTCGATAACTATAACCTTGAGTGTATTCACTATTGCGGGACTGCGTCAAAGGTGACAACGGGCCAAGAGTAATTCGGCTTTATTCGACTCTAAGCAACTGCGCAAGGGGGGCGCGAGGTGTCGGTGACAAGGTGTAACATAACCTTAAAATGCGAGCATCCGTGATCAACAATGTGATTGTACTGTTCGGGCTGCACATATTTTATTGGTGTTGCATCGCGGTAAATGCAAGCGGCGGAGCCCTCGATGCGAGCCCGAACTTCCAGCCCAGCTCTTCCGGAAGCTCACATTCCAAAATCACATCATTCTCCGCCACTCTTACCGATGGACTGGCTCAGGCTGTCGCCCAAGAAGCTGGTAAATTTCTTCTTTAATTAATCTAGGATAACTCTCAAAACTGTTGCAATGATTTCTACCACGATTCTACAAAATACAATTAACAGATGCAACAAATTTTCATTTCATTTTGAAAATGGGATGCAGCCTGTTTTTGTTTGGGAAGTGCATTTCGACATTTTGCACCTCGACAAATTAAGTATTTCCATCATTGTTTAGCTCATATATTACTCTTAAAAATATAATAAGACTTGTTTACATCAGGGTCTCGCTCTCCAATATTTCACTTTAGAACCATAATTATAGAACATTACAACAGTTTCAAGAGTTTTTGTATCTTATTATGTCAGCAACTTTTGACATTGCACTTCTTGTGTTGTCTATTCACTAGAGACGGGATCTAGTTCAGCATCATTCATTAGCTGCGATAATAGCAGAATTAAATGCTTGCAAACAACTTTTGATTGTATAGTGAATTTTGCATTAATTTTATAGCTATGTCGGGCCTGCAGTAGACGAGCATTATGTACATATACTTAGAGTGATACACTGTTTTCTTCTTCCAAGTTCTTGTGAAATGTTTCCAACTTGTAATATACTTTATCCCGTCTCTATTTACTTAATGCATTTCATCCATTCTATTTTTTGTTAGACTCTGTATAATGCTTTTACATTTGTCTACATTGCATTCATATTCACGATTGAGTTTCATAGTGGTGATAATATTTAGTTTCAGAAAGAAGTTTTCATGTATCCTTGTTTTTTGTTATTTTTGTCTAAGAACTGTGTGCAAGATTTGCTTTTAGCAAGATCAAACGTCCAAGATGTTTTTTGATTGTCCGTGTGAAGTAAGTTTTGTTTCAATTAAATGTTTTGTTGGTAAGCATGAAAGAAACGAATGTGTTTATGATAAAAAAGAAATGATAAGGATCAATATCCTCGATAATGAGAGATTTGTATAACTAATACATTCATATTAACAACATGTGACTGCATTAATGCAATTGGGTAAAAAGCTTATTGTGCATATACGATTAAAGAAACATAGTCTTACCTGAAAGGCACCTGTGGTAACAGATTACATGTAATCATAAACACATACAATCAAACGTAGGCTATTTAATTTATTACAGGTTCCGATACTTGTAACGATGACCTAGCTTGTCTCACAATGGCTTCTCATGATCGACTAGGTTTAGAAGCTATCAAATCACTCCACAGTCAACTAGACGATGATGCCAATGGAAATGTAGACCTATCAGAGTCAGATGATGTGAGTGTGTCGCCGATATTTTATTGTGTTCATTTCAAGTAATTGAAAAATTATATTTTCTTTATAGTTTTTAAGGGAAGAGTTGCAATATGAAGCTGGGTACGAAAGAAGACAGAGGGCTTTCCATCACAATGATGACATGCACATCAGTGTTAGAGAACTTTGGGAAGCCTGGTTAAGGTCAGAGGTATTGTCAGCATTCTGTTTCTATTGTATTTCAATATTTAATTAATGGAAAGTTACCAATGAATTCAATTTCTTTCTAGGTCCACAATTGGACCATAGAACAAACGTCTGAATGGCTGTCTTCTAATGTAGAGCTTCCTCAATATGTTCCTAATTTTATACAACACCGTGTAACTGGTGCTACACTTCCAAGGTTAATATCGTAATAAGTATGCTATGTTTGTTATGTTTCCATTTTTTGTTCCATTTTTAATTAATACGAAACCGTTTATTTTTAAAGGTTGGCTGTGAACAATATGCACTACCTAAATACTGTTTTAGGGATCAAGGATCCCATTCATAAACAAAAAATTGCCTTAAAAGCTATGGATGTAGTTCTCTTTGGACCACCAAAAGGTAACAAATTATTTAATACCTAAAGACTCATCCAATTGATATTATCATTTAATTGTAGATACTGGTCACAGTGTCAAAGATTTAATATTGATAACACTATTATTTGGAGCACTTATTGGATGCTGGTACGCGTATCAGCAGAAGAAAAATTCACAGAAACACCTTCATAGAATGATGAAGGACATGGAAAGTTTACACAAAGCTGAATTGGCACTCGAAGATCTGCAAGTACGTTATCAATTTATTTTGTAATTTATTTGTTATTAAAGATATTTATCGGGACGATTATTAAAGTCACATATCACGGTTTACAGAAAGAATTAGAAAGGGCGCGAATGGAACAAGAGAGTGCCACAACAGAGAAACAAAATCTGGAGAAACGATTGCAAGATGAAAGTATGGGATTACATGCCTCGTACTCGGATCTTGAAGTTTCACAATTGAAAGCAGAAATTGAAGTAAATATTATGCAATCCTTTATTGCCAGAATTTCAAATAATTTTTCTCGAAGTTTATTCGATTTTATAATTCATAGATGTTGAAAGTTGAATTACAACGCGCCGAAGGTGAACTGGAAGATAGATGTTGGTCTCCACCTCCGGGATTACAACACTGGTTGCAGTTAACTCATGAAATTGAAAACAAGTCATACTCAAAGAAGAAAATAGCAGCAGAGAAACAATTGCAACAAGCACGCGAAGCAGTAAGACATATGCTTTTAACCGGAATCCTATATAATCTTATATCAGAAATGTTTATATGGGTTTTAACGTGTGTCGACAGTGCGAGAAACTACGAAAAAAGCGGTCAAGCTTAGTAGGTGCCTTTGTTTCTACTCATGGAAAGTCGATCGACGAGGTCGACAAAAGTATTGTGGACGCGAGGACCTCGTTAAATGAAGTCACCGCGGAACTGCAGGAGAGAGTGCATCGTTGGAAGCAAATCGAACTCCTTTGTGGCTTCAACATAATCAACAATAATGGTTTAACCTATTTAGAAACTGTTCTCTACAGAGGAACACCTAACGGCAGAGGTCTTGGACTAAGAGGTATTTAATTGAAAAAAAATTGTAAACACAAGACTAAAGGATTCCTTGATTTACATTAATCTCCGATTACAAGTTCTGCTGTGTTTTGCAAATTGTCATTTTCATAGACATTGAAAGTAACTTGATGCTGCAACAGTAGTTTGATGAAGTATCATACCTTTCAAGGTTTAATGGGAAATTCCGACTCGGTCACGGTAAATGAATGTGAATAATCGTCTATAATTGTTGCTTGTAGGTCGACTCAGTAGCCAAGATGACTTAGATGACGAAGCAAGCTCAGTGTACTCGCCCTCCTCGTGCGGAGCCGCAGGTAAGCCGGAAACGGACATCTCCGAGCATTTTGAATGATATGCTCAATTTGTATATACTATTACAAACAGTTTACATGAAACTTAAGTACCCGTGTATTTTCCATTCTATCTCGCGTGGGTGACGCCTTCAAGAACGATAATTTACTAACTCGTTTGTCTTCCTAGTAGTAATTTTGTTGTGAAATTAATTCCCCTGAATAGAACCTCCGTATGATGTAGGCGCTCATACCAATTAAGTAATCACTAGTACGCTCGCACAGATTGAATTTGAAGTTTTTACGAAATTTTAACGGGAAGAAACATTTTTGTACAATATGACAAGATAGTATAAAATTTACGGTACGGTAAAAAAATTGTTGAAACGAAGTTAGAATAATTGATTATATCTGTGAGGTGTGCTAATGATTTTGTAAATACAGATAGCTTATGTCACACATTACAATGTGTTTTGCTATAATATTTATATAAACTTATTGAACAAAGACTTCCGTGATGACTATTAATCAAACTATTTTTCATAAATTAAAAAACTTGTACATACAATTGTATATAAATCGAAATCAAGTTCCTAATTAAATATTATTAATAAGAGAACTTATTCAAAGCTTTTGGATAATATTAACTGTAAATTCTTTTAATTTATATGAGTACGTTATTGCGTGTAACAAAATTGTTTTTTTTTCTTGTTGTGTGGCCTGTGTTGCAGTAGGATGCTGTAACTGTGTTGGGGTCAATTGTTTTATTAGATAATATGTTGCAAATTTTTAGTGAATATATATTTTAATATTTTCAAACATTAATCTCA